ATCGTTAAGCGCCGCCTCCCGCATGAAGATGATTTTATTACGGAAAGCATAGTTCTTCCTTCTGTAGCAGGGAAGAAAGTGGTCAGTCAGAAACTCCACATACTTTGCAGAAGTCATCTTCGGGGATCCTAAAGGGGCCGACCAGCTCTCTTCCCATGATTCCGGCCCAAAACATGACTCCACCACCGCTTTGCTGATGTCGCAGCCTTGTTGGAACAGGGTGGCCATCCACCAACCACCCACTACTACATCCATCTGGACCATCCAGGGTTGCACGGCAAATATCAGTGAACAGGACTGTTTGAAAATTAGTCTTCATGTATTTTTCTGCCCAATTCAGCCAATTTTGCTTGTGAGCATTGGTTAATGGTGGCCGAATAGAAGGTTTATGCACAGTTGCAAGACTCTGGAGGACTCTACACCTTGGTGTCTGTGGGACTCCAGAGACACCAGCAGCTTCAAATATCTGTTTGCTGCTATGTAATGGTATTTTAGCAGCTGCTCTCTTGATCCGATGCATGGATCTGGCAGAAATCTTCCTCAATGTGCCTTTATCTGCACGAACCCGTCTGTGCTCTGAATCAGCCACAAATCTCTTAAAAGTGCCTCGTCCAAGGCATTGAACTATTTCACTCTTTTTGGCAGCAGATAGATCCTTTTTCTTCCCCACATTGCATGAAAATGGTGTTCTGCTTAATAATGTGGAACACCCTCCTTTAGTTGTTTTTCCTTAAATTGGGCTCACCTAGCAATCTAATTATCACAGGTGTCCGAGATTGTCTTCAGTGATCAAAAGAGTGCTGAGGCACAATGCCGTCCATGAGTTAAACTGAAAAACAAAATATTTAATCTCTGTGACACTTAAATAGAATTTGCATAATAATTTGGAACAAGGTGTATATTGCAGAGCTCTATCTCAGCGGAAATAGAGTTTACAGCAAAAATATAATCTCTAAGCACAGCAACAACTTTATCATTATTATTTTATTATTTATATAGCGCCATCAGATTATCAGAATTAAGTTATGGTGCCAGGAGATGCTTTTATGAGGTTCCAGACACCAGTTTGCCAAACTTCTATGGCCGGGCTAGGATTCAGACGTGGGCTATTCTGAAGGCGTCACCTGATGCTCTCATCCTATCAGCGGCGTCCTTGCGTGAGGCTTCAGGTTAGAAGCATCGGATTGCAGTGGACATTTTGGAGCAGAGCTGACTAACGTCAGACAGAAGACTTTGGTGTTAAATAGTTTGTTAACCATTCTTTATATATTAGAAAAAAGAGAAAAAAAGTGCGCTGTGCCTTAAATAATAGTGATTCATGTGTACATAATTGTGCATATATTGTATACATAAAGTGCAAAAGCAGGTCATAAAGTGCAAAATCAAAATATAGTGTATCTTCCAAAAAGTGTCCAAGTCATACAATATATAAAAGAAGAACACTTACATAAATGACTTCAATATATCTTCCCAAATATTGGGTAACTCAGATCGAAAGGAAAAAAAGGGGGAGATAAGGAAGAAAAAGGTATATAGTGTAAATCTGTGGATAAAACTCAGAAAAATAAAAAATAAACCAATCAACTCACAAGAAAGTATAGAACTAGTGCTATAGATATGTTTGAAAGATCGGTCATTGAGGATTTTGATAGATTAGATATGCAAAATAGGAGCAAAAAGTCCAGAAATAATTTGAATTTACAAGAAAGTAAAGCTCTACAAGAATTAAGGAAAAATAAGACATTGTAATTATTAAACCCGCCGATAAGGGCGGGAGCATTGTAATTCAGATTACACAAGATTATTTGGACGAATGCTAGAGATAGCTAATGGATAAAGAAATATATACTGAGTTGGAGAAAGATCCCACTCAGGATATTAAATCTACCCTGTATGTACTCCTGGATAGGGGCAGAGAGATGGAGGTGCTTAATGAGTATAGTTTTTTAAAAGTTTAATTCCCTAGGATACCTGTCTTTTATACCTTACCGAAGGTTCATAAAAATCAGACTCAACTCCCTGGTAGGCCTATAGTGTCTGGCATAAGTTACAGTTCTGCAAATTTGTCTAAATATGTAGATATTTGGTTGCAAGACTTAGATAAAACTATGCCTTCGTATTTGAAAGACACTACGGACATGATAAAAATTCTAAAAAATATGAAATAGGAAGAAGGCTATTTTTTAGTCACCTCAGATGTATCTGCACTTTATACATGAATTCCTCATGCTTTAGAATGCAAAACAGTACAAAAATGTCTACAAACTCAGGGAAATTTACAGATAATCACATTAGTTTTTTAATGGATAATATTAGATGGATTTTAGAAAATAATTATTTTGTTTTGAATTCAAAATTTTATCTACAGCGCCAGGTTCGCCCCCGGTTATGCTAATTTATTCATGCTGGGATGGGAAGAAGAAATTATTTTTAATAGCCCAGCATGGGGGACAGAGCTCATCACGTACCATAGATACATTGATGATTTATTTTTTATTTGGAAAGGTTCACAGAACAATTTTGAGATTTTTTAAAATATAAATGAGAGAAATAGCTAAAACTTTTTTAAGCATTAACAAAAAAGGTTTTTATTCTTGTGAGAAATGTGTAGGCTGCAAGTGTAGCAAGAATAGGATGTTGAAAGGTATAAATAAATTCAAAACTAAATATAAACAAGAGGATTTTTATGTTAATGATTTTATAACTTGTCTTAGTAGAAATTTTATTTATCTCTTAATGTGTCCATGTGGGCTACAATATGTTGGTCGAACAATTTGTCCTCTTCATAAACGTATTTATGAACATGTTAACAATATTAAAAAAGTTTTTGAACAACATAGTGTGTCTGCACATTTTAAAAGATGCCATAATAAAGACCCAAGTGGGGTAACCTTCTTAGGTATTCAAATAGTAAATAAATCATGGAAAGGAGGGAATCATGTCTTAGATATAGGAAAAGAAGAAATGAAATGGGTTCATAAACTGCAGATTCTACAACCTAAAGGACTGAATATTGAATTTGATTTGTTTAACTTCTTATAATATTTTTATAAAATACTATTATATTAATGTTTCTTTTCTTTCCTTTTTTAATAGGTGAAATTATATTATTAGTGCTATCATTTTCTTTTTATAAACTTTTAAAAGATTATGCCCTTTTAAATATAATGTAATTCTAAATGAACTCCGGTTTTAATAATATTTTAATTTTTTACTTTTTTTAAAAAATATCTTCAATGTAATGTGCTTTAAGATGATGAATGTTTTTTAAGTATGTTTTTAAAATATTTTTCTAGATTATTTCTGTTTTAGTGATGTTCTTTTGGATATATGTTTTTAGATGAATCATTTTTAAATTATGTTTTAATAAAATGTCATGTTCTTTTAAGAGATATGTATAATCTAGAAATATATGTGTATATAGATATAAATTACTATCCTGAATAGGCTATATGGATATCTGTTTTGCGTGCAGAAAGAAAGAGACATTTAGGTGATGTGCCTTTTTAGTTTTTCCATTCAAAGACTTATTAAGGACCTTAAACTCAATTAATCTGGCAATTATGTATGAATTGAATGGATATAAAACTGACACAGATGCCAGACCCAGAACGTGATCCGAAGAAGCCGCTTAGGCAAAACGCGTCACCACGTTTTCAGACGCACGACGTCAGGATGCACTGAAAGAAACTCGTATTTCCTGAGAGAGCCACACGCCGTTCCGGTGCCCGCAAAATACCGCAAGTGCTAGCCAGTGTGTCAGGAGGGTCTGAGGACTGCTGCTACAGAGATCGAGCTTGTGTTTTTAATGTTTTTTTCTGCTACCAATAACGGCTTGAATTTTATCCAGCTGCTGTCCTGCCTGTGAAATTGTGGTCCTGCATCCTGATATATCTGGGCTATCAAAGTGAGAGCAGACTTTTACTGCTCATCTCTTGTGAGTTGATTGGTTTATTTTTTATTTTTCTGAGTTTTACCCACAGATTTACACTATATCCCTTTTCCTTCCTTATCTCCCCCTTTTTTTTCTTTCGATCTGAGTTACCCAATATTTGGGGAGATATATTGAAGTCATTTATGTAAGTGTTCTTCTTTTATATATTGTATCACTTGGACACTTTTTGGAAGATACACTATATTTTGATTTTGCACTTTATGTATACAATATATGCACAATGATGTACACATGAATCACTATTTTTAAAGGCACAGCGCACTTTTTTCTCTTTTTTCTAATTTGCGTATGGAGTGTTTTTTTCTGAGCTATTTTACACTTAATTAGTGCTGCTTGTCCTTTATGGTATTTATATTCACTTTTAATAATACACAGCGCCTTTTTTTACTTGATTTTTTTCTTTTGTATTTTGCATTCTATATATATATATATATATATATATATATATATATATATATATTTGGGGTTGTACCACTAGCATGCAGTTACATTTAGGGGTTCTTTAGCATAAAGGGGCTTAGTTTAAAGCGTCATTCAGATGTTATAATGATGGTCATCAATTCGAATGGTAATATTTGCTGTTCTGTTTCCTTTGCAACAACATTATAACCTCACTATTACAATGCTCTAAAATATTGACTAAAATAAGCTACATACACTTCCATCCAGGTAACAGCATCAATAGGAATGTTAATAATTGTAATATCAATATACCCCCATAACGTAGCACTATACTACCCCCTACTCTTATCTAAGACATAGAGTGTCAAAGATTTGTGATGCATCTTAAACTAAGACTTTCTATAAAGTCACATTGGGGGAAAAAAAAAACTAACAAAAAAAACAACACTCTGTAATGACAAGAATGAAGTATACTCACTGAAACAAGCAGATGCCAGAAACATAATTATTTATTAAAATGAATATAATACAAAATAAAATTTCATCTTTGTTTTTGTTAATATTTCCATGATTGCAAAATTGCCAAAACTTGTGTAATTATAATTTTAAATGATAATGAGTTAATCTGTAGCTGGGGCTTGTTTTAATTCTGCGGCACTGTAAAAAAAAAAAAAATTAAAATGAAGAAACCATAAATTGCAATGTAAAGAGATGGACCATATGGATATAACGAGAGTACCATAATCCTGTGTATGTTTCTTTAAGGGACACTTCAGACCTGTGAAGCACTTTACCTTGCTGTCTTTTTTATTCTTTTCATTTTATGAAAAGTGCAGGTTTCAAAACAAATTGTTACATTTATAAATTAACCTTGTTATACCTCCTGACTGTCAATCAGGTAACTGGTCCTGTTACTTCCTAGTTGTTTAACTGAGTGGAACTAAACTCAAGAGACCGCAATTGCCCAGAGCACCTGCCATGCAAAGAATTCTCACTGAGTTGCTTTGGGAAGTCTGTGATTGGACAGATGGAGGAAGTCTGGGCGGGGTTAGAATGGGAGGGTTTGCAAAGACCTTAGATTGCTTTTGCAAGCTGTTTTTAGATATGTTGTCATTTGGGGTACAGCTACTAAACATTGATTTTTATTTTTGTATTTGGGCAGTGGAGTGTCCCTTTAAGCCATTCTAAAATAATCCAATAGTTCATCCAATACTACAGGAGATTCTTGCTACAGAACCACTTGCTGCCGTGTTTATAAAGCAATACAACTCAACGAGTGTTGTTTTAAAACATTCAAATATATATCCATTACTCTCAAATATATCTCTTTAAATATAAAGTCTCGTTACTTCTTTCTTACCACTTTTATAACAAATTAATATTGAATTATATGTCAAATAAATATAGCCCATACTTTCCTTTCCATGTTCCTACACCAAGGGCTAGAAATACATTTTTGATTCTGATATTGTTCTACCACAACTTACCAAATGCGTATTTGGCCAGGAATCCTCTAGTCTGTACAGACTCATCACTGACAAACTGAATGACGAGATAATTTTTGGTGGATGTTATGGTGAGAACTTTAGCCATACTACAGTATTTGCCAATCTGTGGAGATGTTGGTGTGGGTCCATCATAGAAAACCAAATAGTCATTAGAGCAGGAACGCTGAATTTCCAAATAAAAATCTGTCATATTCAAAGAAACCTAGAGAATGAGATTAGAAATCCAGTTACATTGCAGGAATATAAGGTGGAACTTCAGGACACGCGTACTTACATATTATTTAAAATTTTTAAAAGGAACAGATATGATTTAGAGCAGTTGTTCTCAAAACCAAACCTCAAGGATAATTAGTGGCCCTTGTGTAGATATAAGCTTTCTTTGTAGATCTTCTGAATCATTGGGGTTCCTTGAAGACCAGACACAATATCTAGCCTAATGTACCGAACAGAGCTTATCTGTCTGAAGAACAACTATATGCATCTGGTTGTGGCAACACAATACTATCAAGAAATGGGGGCTGTAAAGTCAGAGATTGCAATGAAAAATTACATACTGAGAATGAATCTTCTTAGTTACCTTAAATCCCACTGGAGCAATGATCACCCATGTACATTGTGCTAAAGCAGGGTAACTGGATGGGTAATTTGGAGAGGAGAAGACCCCAGAGTAGCTGGTAAGCGTGGATCCACATTTTACTAGGGAAGAAGTAAAGATACTTTTTGATTTTGGTGCATACATACACATAGTCCAAAATGAGATATTATTTAACAATATTATATACAGTTGTAATCACAATTATTCAACGCCCATTGAAAATCAAGTTGATTGTCAAAATGTACAGACTTTCAGCTGTTTGCAATGAACAAATCACACAAAAGCAATTGAAATAGCTCAACTCAACGAATGCTTATCCAGCAGTTGTGTAAGATTTGTGCCACAATTCTTTTCACTTGGTCTTCTTAAATGAAACCTATAGGGTTAGGAATAAAAACCTGCATTTTAACGCTACAGTGTTCTCTTCTGCATTCAGAAAATTAAATTTTAAAAATATTAATAATGTGACATTTTAGGGGTTATTTACTGAGCTAGGATTAAGGGTCAAATGATGAGTACATTGAAAATATATTACTCAAAAAAGCAAAATTGAAAACAATATCGCCGTTTTGACAATTTTCTTTAGCTTGCAGTTTTGAGCTACATTTCCAATGCCTTGCCAACCCTCCAAAATTACAATTTTAATGAATAGCATGTTTAAAACACAAACAAACAGTACTGTATTCTTACCAGTGTTATATGAGCCCTTGAAACCTGTAGCTGTTAAGCTGGAATCGCTGGCAAATTCAAGAAGCATCATATTCCCCGAAGATACCAAAGAGGGGACCTGTCCTGTGCCGCATGCTCTGTCCAGTAGTACCGGTGACGATGTATTGGCTCCATCGTAGACCTTTAAGTAATCAGAGGAGCAGCTAGGGGATCCCTGCACATTGAAGGCACTAAACTGCAAGAACACCTGGGAGAGAGAACACAGCTTAGCAATGAATAGAATGATACGTTTGGATTTTACTCCATCCATTAGACAAGGTGTTCTGATTGTTCCGAAGATCTGTTCTTTATTAGTTACCTGATCTGAAGGGACTCGAATAAGCCAGAAACATTTGGCATTATTGTGGTAGTTGTTGGGGTAGTTAGCAGAAACAAATGATCCTGCAGAGTCAGGCAATAAGGTGCTGCAGGCATCTAAAACGGAAATAAATAATAATGAAAAAGAGAGTTCTTAGTTCTATTGGGTGCGGTTTGTATGTCTGGGAGAAAAAATATATTCCATATAATCTGTTTATGGATTTATTTTATGCATGCCATGAAGCTTTAGCAACATTGCAACTATCAAGCAGAACTTAACCGATCCGAAAGTGTCCATTTTAGGGCAATTAATAAGGTATCAGTTATAATGGAAAGTAATTGCTCAGTACTTAAAGGGACACTCCAGGTACCCAGACCACTTCTGCCCATTGGAGTGGTCTGGGTGCCAACTCCCACTACTCTTAACCCTGCAACTGTAATTATTGCAGTTTTTTATAAACTGCAATAATTACATTGCAGGGTTAACTCCACCTCTAGTGGCTGTCTACCAGACAGCCACTAGAGGGCACTTCCTAGTTTCTAGCACAGCAAACCTGTGCTAGAGCATCACTGGATGTCCTCACGCTGTGTGAGGACCTCCAGCGTCGCTCATTTCCCCATAGGAAAGCATTGAAAGATGCAGGTCCCCTCTCCCTCTCACCCCCCAATCCCCGGTTGCTGAAGGGGTGACTTACCTGAGGCAGCGACGATGTCCCACATCGCTGCTTCTTCCTCCGCAGCTGCTCCACCCTGTGATTGTGTAGGCCGATGGGCAAAACTGATCCCACTCACCGGCCGGGGAGACCTAATGCGCATGCCGGCCGACGCAATCACAGGGAGGAGCGGTGGCGGAGGAAGAAGCAGCGACGTGGGACATCATCGCTGCCTCAGGTAAGTCACCCCTTCAGCAACCGGGGATTGGGGGGTGGGAGGGAGAGGGGACCTGCAGTGCCAGGAAAACGGATTGTTTTCCTGGCACTGGAGTTTCCCTTTAAGGTCAGACATTTCCTTTAGGTCACTGAATTGTTTTGGACTTGACAGATGTCTAGTGATCGCATCATTACTTACCACACTTGAACAGATTGTTTATTTTGGAAATATCCAAGTTACTGAGTCCGTATCGCTGACCAATGGCTACACTTGAGTTTGGCTTCGGGACAATGGTGGCTAAATTCTGAGATATGGAGAAGGCAAACCTAGATAAAGAATAGAAGTTCTCCAATGTTAAATGGAATGTGTCTTAAACATGATTGCTTGTTTTAACATTAACATCTTTCCGTTCTGTCCATTATCAGCCTAAAAGAAGACCCCAAAACGTGACTACTTTACAAACCAGGACTACTTTACAGATGTGGACAACGTTACAAATTGAGATCCCTTCAAATTGAAATTGAAATTTCTTTGTGGCAACTTGTACCAACATAAGCGCTGAATTAAACTTTAAAATTTTTACATTTTCTGTTCCAAAGAATTTCATGTTAGACTGAGAACTTTATTCACTAAATATTGGTGCTTTTACACATACATTAAAAATGATAATTCAAAAATGTAATTTAACTCACTGTTTATTAACCCATCTTGTGACAGTAAAGTAATTGCTCTGGGTTACCGGAGTTTGACCAATCGTCATCCTTCCCCTACATATTTACATATTAAGAACAACATAATGAGCCACTCGCCTTACCTTCCATAGTGCATAACAGAAGAATAATCGTATTCTAGGCCCAGATTATTGGTATCATACTTGTCAAAGTTGTCAGCCAGTCCTAGAAAATTAAAATAACATCTAGTTAACTTCATGATGCACTGATCTCTCTTATTGAGAATCATGAGAAATGTACTTTAGAAATGTTTGCAATACTGAGGCTAACCATCACTGCTCACAGACACAGCTCATTTTTGGCTGCATGGTGTTTGAATGGTTTAAGACTGTCAGTCCTCCTCTGCTTGGCTAATGAGCACCAGCAGGGAAGGGATAGCAGTGTATCATTGGCCGCCTGTCACAAGTAAACGTATAGAAATTTTCTATCCTTAACTCCCGAGGGACAGCTGTCATTAACCTTCAACGTCTGACGTACTCAAACGCTCCATTTTTTTTTGCTAGAGTCAACATTGCAGGATTCACAGGGAAGCTTAATCCCACTGTTAAGACAATAACATTTTCTGAAAAATATTTTTTTTTGAAATTTGGATTGTGATTGCTTTCATAATTCCTGTGTAATACTGTTGAAAAATAAAAACAATATTATCAATCAGTTACCAACACTGGATTGTAACACAGACCTGATTTGGGAAATGCTAATATGTGCAGAAGGAGAAATAAGCACAAATTAGGGATATCAATGCCATTAATAGACTATAACTCATGTAACTCTTTTCCATAGAGAATTACAGGAGTTGTAATCCAAAAAAAGCTGGTGATCTGAGGTCTGTAACCCATTTCATTAATCTGCCTAGTACTTATTCCACCTGCTGATTCTGCTGGAAAATTTTAAATTCCATGCAATCTGTGGGGTAAATTAATGGAGACATTAATTAAGTGTAACTTACTTTAGATGTTTATATCTTCTGATCTGTAAATTGAAATTGAATTACACACAGGAGGCTACTGCAGGGTCTAGCAAGCTATATACAGAGCAGAAGATAAGAAATCCTAAATTAAACAGAATTTATAATAAAGGAAGTGTAAACATTAGATGACTCTTTACAGGAAATGTTTAGGAAGGCGGTGCAAGTCACATGTAAGGAGGTGTGACTAGGGCTGCATAAACAAAGGGATTTAACTCCTAAATGGCAGGGAATTGAGCAGTCAGACTACAGAGGCATGTTCTATACACCAAAACTGCTTCATTAAACTAAAGTTGTTTTAGTGACTACAGTGTCCCTTTAATAAAGGTTAAATGTGATTTCTTTCCTCCTTGGTCTGCTTACCGACAATGATATTGTTTGTATTTATGTCAATGTAGTTATCGCGGTCGCTCCTGCTGTGCTCGTGGAAGAATCCCAAGGCATGGTTCAGCTCATGCTGGGCTATCCCCTTGGTTACACAGCTGTCCTTTGAAAGTGATACCTCCTGGGGTCCGCCCATTTTACCAACATAGGACCAACACCTGCAAACAAGAGGTTTGATTATACAGATGGACTGTAAGCACAATATTTCACTGGTCCATAACTGGCATCATTTGTTCTTAGTGACATTTGTTAAACCACTCCCTCTGCATTCCATCATAGAACACACAGCTGGCTGAAACCACACCCCCTGCATTCCATCATAGAACACACAGCTGGCTGAAACCATAGAACACACAGCTAACTGAAACCACGCCCCCTGCATTCCATCACAGAACACACAGCTGGCTGAAACCACACCCCCTGCATTCCATCATAGAACACACAGCTGGCTGAAACCACACCCCCTGCATTCCATCACAGAACACACAGCTAACTGAAACCACGCCCCCTGCATTCCATCACAGAACACACAGCTAACTGAAACCACGCCCCCTGCATTCCATCACAGAACACACAGCTGGCTGAAACCACGCCCCCTGCATTCCATCACAGAACACACAGCTGGCTGAAACCACGCCCCCTGCATGCCATCACAGAACACACAGCTGGCTGAAACCACACCCCCTGCATTCCATCACAGAACACACAGCTGGCTGAAACCACACCCCCTGCATTCCATCACAGAACACACAGCTGGCTGAAACCACACCCCCTGCATTCCATCACAGAACACACAGCTGGCTGAAACCACACCCCCTGCATTCCATCATAGAACACACAGCTGGCTGAAACCACACCCCCTGCATTCCATCACAGAACACACAGCTTGCATCACAGAACACACAGCTAACTGAAACCACGCCCCCCCCATGCATTCCATCACAGAACACACAGCTGGCTGAAACCACGCCCTGCATTCCATCACAGAACACACAGCTGGCTGAAACCACGCCCCCTGCATGCCATCACAGAACACACAGCTGGCTGAAACCACACACCCCTGCATGCCATCACAGAACACACAGCTGGCTGAAACCACACCCCCTGCATTCCATCATAGCAGAACACACAGCTGGCTGAAACCACACCCCCTGCATTCCATCACAGAACACACAGCTGGCTGAAACCACGCCCCCTGCATTCCATCACAGAACACACAGCTGGCTGAAACCACGCCCCCTGCATGCCATCACAGAACACACAGCTGGCTGAAACCACACCCCCTGCATTCCATCATAGAACACACAGCTGGCTGAAACCACACCCCCTGCATTCCATCATAGAACACACAGCTGGCTGAAACCACACCCCCTGCATTCCATCACAGAACACACAGCTGGCTGAAACCACACCCCCTGCATTCCATCACAGAACACACAGCTGGCTGAAACCACGCCCCCTGTATTCCATCATAGAACACACAGCTGGCTGAAACCACGCACCCTGCATGCCATCACAGAACACACAGCTGGCTGAAACCACACCCCCTGCATTCCATCATAGAACACACAGCTGGCTGAAACCACACCCCCTGCATTCCATCATAGAACACACAGCTGGCTGAAACCACACCCCCTGCTTTCCATCATATAACACACAGCTGGCTGAAACCACACCCTCTGCATTCCATCACATAACACACAGCTCGCTGTAAACACTCCCCTTGCGTTCCATTATAGAACACACAGCTGGCTGAAACCACACCCCCTGCATTCCATCATAGAACACACAGCTGGCTGAAACCACACCCCCTGCATTCCATCATAGAACACATAGCTGGCTGAAACCACGCCCCCTGCATTCCATCATAGAACACACAGCTGGCTGAAACCACACCCCCTGCATTCCATCATAGAACACACAGCTGGCTGAAACCACACCCCCTGCATTCCATCATAGAACACACAGCTGGCTGAAACCACACCCTCTGCATTCCATCACATAACACACAGCTCGCTGTAAACACTCCCCTTGCGTTCCATTATAGAACACACAGCTGAAACCAGCCTCCTGAGCTGAAACCACACCCCCTGCATTCAAACATGGCACACATAGCTAGGTGTAACCATTCTTTAGGCCTATATTTTGCAACCTAACGCATTAATATGACCACATACCCCGAGTCAGGAATAATCATCAAGTAATCAGCTTCCGAGGAGCGGGGGACAAAACGCACACAGGTCAGTGTGGCAAAATCTTGCATAGCGGTAGTAATAACATCCAACTCTTGGGCACCTGAGGAGGGAATCAGGAGATGTTAAAATATTATAATAATAATGTTACATGATCTGGAATCATTTTCTAACTCCAATTTTCTACCCATATCATCGTATATTGTTACTTTTATTTTTCCATTTTTCCAAATTTCGATTCGCTATAATTAGCAGAAGGTAAGACTGCTAACTGTCACTGGAACATTACTCTACAATACTCTAATTTGGCTTTTGGAATGAGATAATTAAAAATGGAGGAAGTCAAGGACATTGTTTTTTCCCCTTTTCTAATGTTATTGATTCTATCATTATTATTACGTGCACATAATCTGCTGTCTACTCTATTATGCCCTGACTTTTACAATGCAAAACCCTCAGTCCACTTGCTGATTGCTCTTTTATGGTGTGTTATGTTATGTATTCCTTTGAGTATTTTATTGCCACATGCGATCATCTGTATATTATATGCTTGTGGATTGAGACAAAAATAAACAAAAATGTAAATAAAAGGTATTTCCTTATTATATAGTTATTACTTACTGAAGTCAGCAGAGATTACGAATGGGACGTTGACTGCTCCGTTTCTGTCCTTATTCCACCGGCACGTATCATTGTCGCATTTTATAGCGCTGCGGCCAATTTTCACAGCTATGTCGCCTTCAATAGTAGGTCTTTTACTTCCTGGGTGCCGAGATACAATAATAGATTAATGAGTTTTCTCAAACTACAAACAAAGTGTTCAGTTAGTCGGTCTATTTATCTAGGCATCATACTCTGTCTATTTCACAAATTTTTTCAATGTTATGGAAATAAACATGGTCTGGGTGCAGTGGCCCTGTAGTTCTAACCCTGCAATGTCAAATATTACAGTTTTGTAGAAACTGCAGGAAAAGGTTAATTAGCCTTATAATCACTTACGTTATTCCAACACCAATGTCCTTGGGAGCTTGGGTGGGCTCTTCTTCTGTTGACGTCAGCCAATAGGGGGAACCTAATGCCCATGCAGGTCTTCCCCATAGGAAAACATTCACTCAATGCTTTTCTATGGGGCATTAAACACGCTGGATGTCCTCGTACAACGGACATCTAATGTTTCACAGAGACAAACTCCGTGTAAATGCAGCAAGTTCCTCTAGTGGCAACTGCCAGACTTGATGAAAAGAACATCCTGTGTTTAACAGTTTTAATTGTATTACCAATGTATATTTTACATAAAAAGGGAAAATCTAAATAAACATTATACCTTTGTTGGAAGATTCAATGACACCAAAAACATCCGAAGGCTCTGGTGTTGGGTCCTCTTTGGGAATGTCTGCTGGAAGAGATAATAATGTATTAAATAGGGTTTTACACACAGTAAGGATTACAGTGAGGTATGTTAAACTGGGAATAATAGCAGAATTGTTTAAACTAAAATAACCGAAATTAAATAGGAAAGTCTCCTACTCAACAATTTTTCGAATTTGACAATTCCCTCCGCAATCCTGTGCAATTACCGTTTTAGTTAAAATATGTTTTATTTTCGTTTTTTTTTTTATAAAGTTTCCGTGTTACCGTAAGATGTACAGGGCTGGATTTACCGACCAGGAGAAAAACGTACTACTCAGAGAATTGCATATACACACATATAGTTCATATAGTATAATTCATACAAAAAGCAGAATCACCTCCTTATCTGCAAGATTTATTTTACCTGTTCAAAGTGAATGGACTAAATGATGAACAGGAATTCCCACCAGGAGTTTGTATCTAGTTGGACTGCGTATAAAGAATGTAATTCTGTTTGCTACTTTAAATCAATCCACAAGGAACATTCCATTGGTTTTATTGATGATGGTTTTACATTTCTATCCCCGGACCATTCTTAAATAACCGGCAGAACCTACAGATATCCTTCACTCAATAGTTCAAGACTTCCATAGAACTTTATAAGATATAGTGATTTGGAAGATGGTAGAGTTACGTGTCAGTGTGCACATTGGGTCATAATGGACTTTTCACAGCATCTCCATAAAGATTAGGTTTACACAACTGTTGTGCTCATTCTCTATGGAAGGAGGGTTAGGATTTGAGTTCTCTACTTTAATGCCTCGAACCTTAATGAGCATTGCAATGAATGAAGCTATAGGCCATCATTGATAGTATTACTGTTGCATCAGTGCAACATTATGGCATTTGTACTTCAACAACTAAGGAAACAACGCACCATGTCTTTATACAGCACACTTAGCATAGCTATTATACTGTAAAGACAACGTGTTATATCTTAATTGTGAGCTAATGTGCAGACTAGCAATTAATTGTATAATATCTCAGACAGGAATATATAGAAATAATAACAATTTATAAAATACATACCTTCTTTGACGAGGTCTCCAAAATTAATCTGAAAATAAACAGATTCATAAGAAATAATTACAACAGATTGTAAGTATATAAATCAAAGAACTATAGAGAGATAGAAAGAGAGAGCAAGACACACACACACACACACACACACATATACATGCACAAATATGTACAAACATTGAGATATATCAGTCTAGCCACATCTATTTATTGTTATCATATTGTATTAAAATATAGGAAATCAGCAAAAATTAACAATTAATATTCATGCCCTATCTGTGTTTTGCAATAGTCAAAATTATTAATCAGAAATTGATACATGGAAAAAAATCATGCAGAAAAATCACAATTAAATGTGAATACCTGAAGAGGAACGCCGTTGGAACATTGTAACAGGTAGGTCATGAGAATGAGGGAGATTCTGAAGGCCATAGTGATGGTCTATCTGATGTTAAGTGTCCTTAGAATTCCTCTATGCTTTGGCTGTGAGGCTGTATATTTTGCAGGAAAGACTGGCCCTTATATACTCCTTTCTGAAAATGTACCAGCCAATCAGCTTCCAGGATGAAGGTGACAAAGCGCCAGGTGACAGGGAGACTATTTTTTTTTTTAATTATCAGTACTGCTACAGTGTATTTTGGAATAGCAACGATTACATAGTGACACCCATTCATTCAATTCGTAAAACCAGAACAAATTGCAATTTTCAGGTAAACCCTGCACCCAGACAAATAATCAGTTATACTAATTACAGGGGTCTGTATTTGATCATGGTCTGCCTTTGGCAATATATATTGTTAGAACTGTGACAATATTTTTTATATATATATATATTGTATTAATAACATTGTGATTCACAAAAAAAGAATAAAACCAATGACAGGACCATTTAAAATCAGTTGTAAAAGATCAGAATTTGTGCTTTTTGTTTGTCCATGACTTTTGCATGAAAAATGCATGAATTTTGCTCACTGTGCCAATGTAGTGCTGTTATGCATTGTTTGATGCGATTGCTATGTGGAAAGTGCGCAGAACAAATCATGGCTACACACTTTTGATGGATATCCCACTGCACGGAAAAACGATTTATCCTTAATACCTTTGTCATGAAAAAATTGCGTTCTCAAAATGTCTTTGCTCTGCATAGTTTGTGAGTTTTGGTACAAACCCTTAACAGGGTAAAAATTTTATACAATGTGCCAACAATCTAAATTTAGGTTATGAGTTCATAAACGTTATAAACATTTGCATCAAGCTCTATAATTTGACTTGAACCAGTGATGTGATTTTAACATTGTTTGAAAACATAAAAAAAACAAACATTAAATACAATACAATCAACAAGAAAAATGTAAAGATGTATAAAGTGATATATAAAAATCATCTCATCTCTGAATTGCCACGTTTTCATGATGGACGCTCCACCAGTTCTGGAGTTTTGTGTCAGCTTAGGACTTTATTAAAGATTATTTTAAAGATGAAATTTCAATGAAACTCCAACACAGTCAATACGAGTATTTACATAGATTTACTAAATAATAACCTTTACAGGCATTCTCATAAAAAAGTTTTTTGATACAGACACATACTACATTGATGGTAACATTTTTTTAATATTAAAACGACCTCAGTGACCCATTCTTCAACTACTATCTCATATGGTTCTCATCAACCTATTTTTCTTGTAACATTTTGTAATTGTCTCATGTATTGCTATTTCCCCCTTTTATTGTAAAGCGCTGTGGCATAAGTTGGCACTATATAATTGCCAATAAGAATATATCACAACATTAACCAGGTTCTTTGCTAAAACAGAGATAGGCAACCTTTGGTGCACCGTATGTTTTGAACTACATCCCCCATAAGGCTCTGACAGCCATTTACAAATATTTACCATGGTGTCTGTGGCAGCTTCTGTGTAATTTGTGAGAATTAAATAGAGAAATGCATTTATTTATATTTTTTGTAAATAAAGTTTTATCTGATTTTTCTGCATCGGTTGTATGAAACAAAGTGATAGGACGCACAGGTCCCTAATATTCACAGTCAACGTTATAGCCACGTAGGGCTGTGATAAGCAAATCAAAAGTAGTAGTAGGAATTTAGTAGTTGTTTGTGTACATCACAAGTATCATATAAATTTCGGGAGATAAGATAACACGAGTTCGAACAGCATGAGTGATTACTGTGTGTTTGACGTAGTATTTATGCCAGTGTGTAATTATCGGGGGTCGTTTTGGCGCGAGGAATCCGTTTGGAGAAAATGCATTTTTAAACTGTGTAAATGTTAGTCAAGAATGGAAAAAAATTGAAATTTTTTTTTTGTTTGTTTAGGGATGTTTTCGCATCGAAACACTGATTACAATTTTCTTTTTAAAAAGAGTACAATAGCAACACATTGCTTAGAATAGGTGAATAGATTGATACAGTAAGTATAGCAATATAAAAAAGATACAGAATTCCAATCTAATTCTAAAAATGCAGAAATCTAATCAAATTCTAATTACATTACACATTGATTGTGATTGAGAATGTCTTTGGTGTTTGGTGTTTAGATGTGAATTTATTGCACATGTGATTAGTTCAAACGCATTTAATTGTGTTAAAAACTAAAAAAGTGATATTTATCAATAAGTATTGATCAGTTGAACCTGAGAGTGAGCTATCATTGATTGCATTGAGCACCCAGGAGGAAAGTGCTATTTTAATAAATTATTTTCATTGATATTATAAAGATGTCGTGGTTAATTTAAACACACCTGTTACTACCTGTATGCACTCAGACACCCCTCCTGTATTTTATGGCAGTGCTAATGAGATTAGTAACACATTAGTAATCAATTACACACACACCAAACCCCCTGCAGTGAAAATGAAAGGAGATCTGACTGTTAGTGGGTGGGAGGTTTAATTTATAGTTAGATCTGGAGGGCAATGAAGTTATCATTATGGGTGACCTTAATCTTCCTGATTTCCAAAATAGCTGCTTGCGCCAGGAGCACACATATTCTAAACGCCCAACTGGGATTATCTCTAAAACAAGTTGTTGAGAAGGTCATACTAGATTTAGTGTTAACAAATGGAGATTTAGTATCAGATATTACTGTAGGTGAAAGTTTAGGATCCAGTGATTACCAGTGTGGTTTAAAATAAGAACAATGACTGAGTCACATCACACAAATACAAAAGGAAATGCTAGCAGAATGCTTGGTTGTATAGGGAGAGGTATTAGCAGTAGAAAGAGGGAAGTGCTCATGCCATTGTACAGAACACTGGTAAGACCTCACTTGGAGTATTGTACGCAGTACTGGAGACCATATCTTCAAAAGGATATTGATACTTTAGAGAGAGTTCAGAGAAGGGCTACTAAACTGGTTAATGGATTGCAGGATAAAACTTACCAGGAAAGGTTAAAGGATCTTAACATGTATAGCTTGGAGGAAAGATGAGACAGGGAGGGGGGGCAGGGGAGGGGGAAAGTGGAGGTATGATAGAAACATTTAAATACATAAAGGGAATCAACCCAGTAAAGGAGGAGACTATATTTAAAAGAAGAAAAACCACCACAACAAGAGGACATAGTCTTAAATTAGAGGGACAAAGGTTTAAAAATAATATCAGGAAGTATTACTTTACTGAGAGGGTAGTGGATGCATGGAATAGCCTCCTACTGAAGTGGTAGAGGTTAACACAGTGAGGGAGTTTAAGTATGTGTAAGTATGTGTGGGATAGGCATAAGGCTATCCTAGCTATAAGATAAGGTCAGGGACTACCAGTAATGAAAGTTTTTTAAAAATTGTGTAAACTGTATTGCCCGAATGGTTCTTATCTGCCATCACATTCTATGTTTCAGTTATTGGAGGAAATACAGACAGATTCTAGGGTGGGTATTATATTGCACCCATCTAAACTATTTAAAAAGTAAATTATTATTAATAGGTATAATATTAATAATACTGGTGTCATTTTGTAACTATATTCATTATAGATATTGCTATGAAACTGAATATTATCATGATAAGTCATTAACCTAAACCTGAGTAAGTAAATATCGTTAGTGTTTTTGGGGACTGACATTGGGGGACAGTTTACAACTTAAAAATAATAATAATAATAATAATAGTATATCTTTTCCATAGAATCACTCAGAAAGTGGCCACAGAATCACTTAGGGTAATAAGTAAAATGTACACAACAAATAAGAGAGGATTGCATTATGTTATTATTAATATTATTATTTTATTAAGGTTATGAAACCAGTAATTGTAACAGAAATTAGTTAATATGTAAAAGTGTTCTTAAATTATTTGGCTGCTTACAATTGGGGGTGGGGGAGTGCCAGGGCACCATAACTACTATGGTGCACTAGATATTGTGTTTGACGTGTTTTTGTAAGGTTAGTGACACAGAATTGTCATCAACAGTAAGGTGTGATTTCCTTATTAATGATATGTCTGTACCTGTTACCTACCTACTACACCTTGGGAACCCCACCCTGCATTTTGTGGTAGTGCTAATGAGATAAGTAACATGTCAGTATCACTCCAATAAAGGTTCAAAACACCCAAGTCCCCTGTAGAGAAAATGAAAGGGTCTGAAGTGTAAAACAAGTGCAGTCTTGGGTAGTTGATACAGGGAGGTTTAGTTACATTTATTGATATAAATCATTGGAGGAGATATGCACAAATACTGAAATGTACGTTATACATTCATAGAGTACTGATTGGTGTATTTCCATTATGTTAATGGCCATAAAAGAAAATAACACCTCATTAGAATACAACTTGATCAATATGTGCTGTTTGGGGAAAATGTGCTTTATAGGAATACAGAATAAACTGATAATAGTTTATGAAATAGTTAATAGTAATAAATTACTTATGGTATGCCAAGCAATGAACGAGGGTATGTAAGTATTTCTTTAAAATGTTAAATTACTATGCTGTGTATTATACCGTGCCAGTATAAGTTATACAATAATTTATATTAACTGTTATCATAATTATATTCTTATTAATATATTTTCATAAAAAAAGAGAAGTGAATGGCGCTTACACAATAGAGTGAACTCAGAGGTAGTGGTGGAATGATAAGTGTTCCCCAACACTTTAAGTACAAAGTTCGAAATTAGAGATATTGGCACTGAAAACACAAATACCAAAATACACACACTACTCTCTGTGCTCCAAAAAGTGGGTAATACAATACTTATATATACAGAAGTATATATAGGAATAAATTTTAAAAAGACACGCATATTAAATTTACGTCCAATATATCGCAAAAAGAATATAAGATCAACTCTATCCTCACTTGCCATTCTAGTAACGTAATATATCCCCTTTAAAAACTCGGATAATGGAGCACTTGGGCAACATACAAAGAGGATATGTCAAGCACAGTGTCTCTGCACATTTTGCACAATACCACAATAGTGACCCTTCCCTTATTAGTTTTATTGCTATAGCCCATAAGAAAAAAGATTGGAGAGGTGAAGACAATTTTAAAGAACTTTGTAAAATTGAGAGCAGGTGGATTTTTGAACTTAACACCCTATCTCCCAGAGGCCTTAATTTAGATTTTGAGTTGGCTCATTTTTTATAGTTAGACACCCATCATTTTTCTTATATTTTTATTTTATTTTATTCTATTTATTTTTCATTACTATTATTATTTTCTTTTTTAATTTAATTTTATTTTATTTCATTAATATTTATTATTATTTTCATTATTATTATTTTTATTAGTATTATTATTATTCATTTTATTTTATTATTTTTTTTATTATTTTAATTTTATTTATTTATTTATTTTATTTTTATTTTTTATTTTTAATTTATTTTTTTAATTTATTTTTTTCATTTTTATTTATTTTTATTCTTATTTTCATTTTTATTATTTATTTTTAATTATTATTTTCTCACTTGTTATTTTATTTTATTTTATTTTTATATTTATTTTCTGAGCCTTTTGCTGTATTTATTAGCTCTTCTCTTTTTTCACTATACATATATATATATATTTTTTATATATATTTTTCTTATATTTTTTAATACTTACTTATTTTCACTTTTATAGTTGTCTTTTTTATACTTGTATTATTTCCTTTCTTGAACCTACCAATCCTTTCATATGGGCTATAGCTATGTATTATAGATGTGATATATTTGCACTATACCATACTACATTTCTTTCTCCTCCTTATAAAAGATTCCTATGGACATTGTTTACCTTTGTATTCTAATGTGTAATTCTTAATGTATCTTTTAATGTTTGTATTTATATACATGTGCTGTTTACAAGTCTCTTGGAGATGCCCATTCATACAATGGAAGCTTTTGCTTCAACTGGGCAAATAACCTGTAATGAGCACAGACGAAAAAATGAGCGCCGGAAAACCGGAAGTGACGTCAGACGTCGGCAAGCCAAACTTCCGCCCATGTGATCGGCAGTTACACAAGCGGCAGATTTAAAAGGAATAGCAGCCAGATTAACTCTTTATGCACTGAAGAAAACTCGGACTGAGTTGAAACGCGTCTGCATTGATATTATTATTATTTTTGTACTAGTTTATACAACTTGTTAGTTGTTTTAAATATTTTTATCCACAATAAATTTGTTCATCTCTTCATTATTATTGCTGCTTCTCCTGTCTCTGAAGGACATCGTGAAGATTTTGCACTTAGCCTGTAGAGGCACCCTTGGGCATTATACACAGAGCCTGGCACGGCTCTGTAATCCGTGAGTGGATTCATTTATTTTTATTATCTTTATTTATCATATACAGTCTGCACTATGTACTGTTTTTTGTTATTGTAGGGTCCAACAATACGGAATATCATCAGCATCAGGGCCGTCTTTAACGCGGGGCAAAAGGGGCAGCTGCCCCCGGCCCAGTTGCTCCTGGGGGGCCCAAGGCAGCTGCCTCTTGAGCCCCGCTGGCCACTGCCCACAAATTTGTGTCCCGAAGTTATCCTTCGCCTTCACTATGCGAGCGGCATTGCCGCATAGTGAAGGACTTACTTGGTGCTCCGCCTCCCGACCTCCCCTGCCATTTGCGTATGCCGCACACGGTGACGTCACGCGGAGGCAGAGTCACGGCAACGCTAATGTGAGCGTTGCCGTGACTCCGCCTCCTTCCTGAACTGCAGAGCGGCGCCATCCGGAACGGAAGGTCGGCACCCACTCCAGCCTTGAGCCCAGCTGCCCAACTGATCCTGAGCCTGCTGGAGTCTTCAGAACTGTAAGTATTTACATTAGTTAGTTACAGTAATATATATTGTTTTATGGGAGTAAGGGTGGTTAGAGGGGAGGGGGAAGGGTGGATGGAGGGGTTAGTAGTACAGTACTATCATATTGTTAAAAATAAAGTAATCTGTTAAATACTATATATTTGTGTCATAAGTTGTGCTTTTTTAATTTTTATAATAATGATACAGCCATTTTATTTAATACTTTTGTGCTGATCCTTTTTTCCCCCTCTATATTCAAGGGACACTATAGTCACCAGAACCACAACAGCTAAACGTAGTAGTTCTGGTGTCTATAACATGTCTCTACAGGCTTTTTAACCCCTTAAGACCGGAGGGCGTACTATTACGCCCTATTCTATACAGCTCTAAACGCCGCCGGGTGTAATAGTACGCCCTCCGGTCTTTCGGTACTTACCCGGTCGCTGGCGGTCGCGGTAGGGGGGACTCCCAGGGAGCCCCCCGCGGCACGTCCGTCCTCCTCGAAGCCCCCCCGGCCATGTGAGAGTGGGGTCCTTGCGAGGACCCCACAATCACATGGCCGGGGGTAGCTGCCTCCTGCATTGCCATGATCTAAGTATATATACACATATACATACACACACGTACACCGTCTCGGTGTATTTTACTATTAATATATATATAATTATATATATATATATTTATATCAAATTACACGTAGACTGATACTGATTAAATATATATATAATTATTGTTATATATATATTTATATATAATATAAAAAAATAAAAATTTAAATACGTTAAAAAATAAAATTAAAAAAATTATTAAAAAATATATAGATGTGTTATTTCGTTCTAACTGTATTGTGAAACTAGAAAAGCTACAATTTCTTGGGAAATTGTGTGAAGTGTTCTTGCCTCCACCAGTAGTCTACAACTGGAGTGGGCGGAGTAACTGTTATCATTTATATAGCACATTTAATTGAAACGTTGATGCACAGTTACATTAAACCATACATTTATAAAAACATTAGCAGGTGTATAAAAGGCCCTGTCTATGACATCACTTGCTGCTGCATCCTGGCACAGGTCAGAGTAATTTGGCGGTTGCCATCTTCAAACGGTCGTATTTTAAAAACTATAAATCCTACAGCGAAGAGCTTTATATTGTGAGAATCACAAGACCCAGACCTACATTTTGATGCATAATATGTCTCTGAAGTATTAAAAATGAAGGCACAGTCACAGTTTAGAAATTGCACTTCAAATTTGAGCTTTGTAGAGTGAAGTTTCAATGAATGTCAATGGACGGCGTTAGTTGCAAACAAATGATTATATTGTGAAAACTATCAGGACTATGGCTTAGCCGTTGACATGTTTAGTGGCAGCAGGGATAGCTGAACGTTTTGATATAAGATTTGTGTAGGTGGGCCTGAAAATAAGGGAGTGGTGGCAGTTTAGAAATCATGTCCTGATTTTTCAGCATTTGCCAGCTCCCACTCTAGCTTGCCATTCATTCCTATGGGACAAATTTGGCCACAAGAACGACAATATTCCGTGAACCATTCGGCGAAACGTTCCACAAAGTAATAGCAATCCGATCGGGAGCAATCTGCACGTTTTGGTAAATTTTGGTCTATGTAGTGTAAAAACTGTGGGAGGAGTTAGGGTGGCAAATTTGGCTATAATAAGAATAATAATATATATGTGAGATAACAATAAGTGGTCTTGCTATGCAAGAACACTTAATTAATATATATATATATATATATATATATCAAAATACACGTAGAACGAAATAATATATATCTATATACATAAATATATATGTATATATCACTATATATATACCTATATATAAATAAAAATATTTTTAAAAAATTATATAGATATATACACACATACATATATTTATTCTACATATATATTAGGTATCTTAATTAATTACAATTCTACGAGTTGTGTTTTTTTTTGGTATGTGTGTGTGTGTGTTGTGGTGGAGGGCGTGATTGCATGCTAGGGTGTGGGAAGGCGGGATCCAGGGAGCCCAAGTAAATTCTTGCCCAGGGTCCAATCAATATTAAAGACGGCCCTGATCAGCATATACTTCTGTATATATAAGTATTGTATTACCCACTTTTTGTTGCACAGAGAGTGGTGTGTGTATTTTGGCATTTGTGTTTTCAGTGCCAATATCTCTAATTTCGAACTTAATATATTTTCATGACTATATTCATGATGAACGGATTTCAATCCTGTTACAGACATGTAACCATCACGTTGCCCACACAATGCCATGGAAATTCTAAATAAATAAAATCAGAGACAACATTAAAACCACCGGTCTAATATTGTGTAGGTCATCTTCTCGAAGCTAAGATAGTTCTGATGTGTCAAGGCATGTACTCCAGAAGACCTCGGAACGTGTCCTATGGCAGGGGCGGACTGAGAACCCTCAGGGCCCCCGGGCAAAATAAATCAAGGGCCCCCTTACAGGCCCCACCCATACTCTGCAGCAAGCGCCACCCTTGTCCCGCCTCCATGTACCGCCTCCAGCCACACCCTACACAATCTTTAGACACAAGGAACAAAAGGGCAATAAGCCCTTCAAGGCCCCACTAGAAACTACAATTGAGGGCTAATGGGCCATGGAGGGGGGTCTTTCTAGCGGAGGCTATCTCAGTGTCCTTTAGAGAGTGTGTTAGAAAGAATCCCCTCCAAGCCCCATTAGAGACTACAATGGAGTCTAATAGGCTTGGAAGGTGGCCTTTCTAACAGAGGCCATCTCAGCGTCCATTAGATATCCCCTGCTGGAAACAGTCGCCTCCAGGCCCCAGTAGAGACTACAATTGAGGGCTAATGGGCCATGGAGGGGATTTCTAGCAGAGGCTAGAGTCTAATGGGGCCTGGAGGGTGGTCTCTCCAACACTCTGGTTCCTATTCACAATATAGCAACACAACATAGCTCGCTGATACCTAAGCCAAGTTGGCTCCTCTTACCTTAATTACTGTTGCTGGCTGGCAGTCTGTGGGCTTGCTGGCTGCAGCTGGCAGGCTGTGGGCTTGCTGGCTACTGCCGGCAGGCTGTGGCTTGCTGGCTGCGACTGGCAGGCTGTGGGCTTGCTGGCTGTAAGCCTGTGGCTTGCTGCAGACCTGTGGGCTGGCTAACTGGCTGGCTACTGGCCAGCCTGTGGGTTGGCTGGCTGGCTACTGGGGCACTTTTAGATTATTTAAAGAAATAATCCATGCACAATAACCACTACTGCTCCAGAGTAAGTAGTCAAACCGTTTAAGAACAGTTTGACAACTTACCTGGAGTCTGCTGGGATATGGGGCTGTAGTAGGGAATAGGAGCAGTGGTGCAATGTGTGTGAAAGGTTCAGTGTGTGTGTGGGGGTGTAGTGTGTGAATGTGTAGGGTGTGTGGGCTGTGTATGTGTGTGGCAATGTTAGTATGGGGGGCTGTGTATGGGGGTCTGTGTGTATATGGGTGGGCAGTGTATGTGTGTGTGTGAGGCAATGTGTGTAAATGTGTATGGTGTGTATGGGGGCAGTGTGTGAATGTGTATGGTGTGTGTTTATGGGGCTAGAGTTCACTCTCACCACTGCGACCACCAGGAATCCCTGGGGGTCACAGTGTTGAGAGTGAACTCTAGCCCGTAGCACCAGGGCTAGAGTTGACTCTCGCAAGAGCGGTAACGTTGCCATGGTAACCGCGGCAACGCTCTGTGCTCGCGCAAGAAGGACCCAGAGGAGCTGCAGGGTGAGCTCCAAGGTCCTCTCTTCCTCCCTCCCCTGCCCGCACGGTGCCTGCGGACAGGGGAGGGGGGGCAATTGCCATGTTGCCCTCCTGGATCCACCAGTGATATATACAGCCCTTCTGTGTGCCTTTTTGTCTCCCCCCGTCCCTCTGTATGTTTTTCTCCCCCCTCCTTCCCAGTCTCTCTTACCCCTCTGCCTCTTTCTCCCTCTCTTCCACTGTTTTTCTCCCCCTTTCCCTGTCTCTCTCTCCCCCACATCTCTCTTCCTCTCTGTCTCTTTCTTCCCCTCCCCATCTCTTTCTCCCCCTGTGTCTCATTCTTCCCTCTCTTTCTCCCCCTCCCCATCTCTCTGTTCCCCCCTCTTTCTCCCCATATCTCTGTTCCCCCCTCTTTCTCCCCATATCCCCATCTCTCTTTCCCCCCCTCCCCGTGTCTCATTCTTCCCTCTCTGTCTCTCTATTCCCCCCGTGTCTCATTCTTCCCTCTCTGTCTCTTTCTCCCCCTCCCCATCTCTCTGTTTCCCCCTCTTTCTCCCTGTTCTCCTTCCCACTCTTTCTCTTTCTCCCCATCTCTGTTTCCCCCCCTCTTTCTCCCCCCTCCCCATATCTCTGTTCCCCCCCTATCTCTGTTCCCCCTCTGTTCCCCCTCCCCATATCTCTGTTCCCCCTCCCCATCATATCTCTGTTCCCCCCTCTTTCTCCATATCTCTGTTCTCCCTCTTTCTCCCCTCCCCATATCTCTATTGCCTCTTACTGTCTGAGGGGGCTGCCGAGCGCCGCCGGAGGTGGCAGCCTCGCCGGTCCGGCGGCATTCCTCTCACTAACGCTGAAGGAGGAGGAGCATGTCTCTCTGTCATGCTCCCTGCGGTTCCCACAATTCCCAGCACAGGATGTGGGAACCGCAAAGGAGCATGACAGAGAGACATGCTCCGCCTCCTTCAGCGTTAGTGAGAGGAATGCCGCCGGACCGGCGAGGCTGCCACCCGGTCCGGCGGCTCCAGCATGAAATGGCCGCCCCCCTCACAGTGTGCCACCGGACTGGCCACCCGGTGCCACCTCCCTCTCAAGTGCCCAAATGCCGCCCCCAATCCAGCCCTGCCTCAGGGCCCCCTGAAGGTGCCCTGGCGGCGGGCCCCCCTCCCGGCCGGGCCCTCGGACCATGTCCGAAGTGCCCGACCGGTCAGTCCGCCCCTGTCCTATGGTATCTGGCCCCAAGACATACTTTTAACTCTAAATGCGAGGTGGGACCTCCAAAGACCGGAGGTTATTATGCTGCAGCCATTTGCAATCTAATCTGTTCCAATGCTGTGTAAAGATAGTTGGCTGCTACACACAGGCAATTTCATTTATCTCTATGCCATCTGGTGGACTTTATGTCATAATTACAATTGCTAAGTATATAAAAAAAATTGATATGTCTTTTTTTTTTTCATCAGTGCAATGTGGCAACGCATTTCACACACATCTAGGAAGCTTCTCACCTTACATGGAAATATTTTCCAGATTTGGACTGTGAGTGGCATATCACTGCACCCAAGAACCACACGGTAAGGAATTAACATGGTGTAGAGCACAGCTTGATTCACAATGTAGGAAAGGTCACTTTGAAAATGTATTGTTAATTAAATTGTACTACAAAGAAGGAAAGCCTCAGTTTAACAGACAAACACAGTGACATTTTTGCCTTTTTCATAAAGAGACTCCAAGCACCATAACAACTACAGTGAACAGTGTGACTTCTTAGCCAGGATCCGCCAGATGCCGCTACTTACCTCTTCTCTGCAGCTCTGAGATTCGGATGGACCTGCTAGGAGCTGCAATTTAGAAGTTAAATGTTTATGCAGCCATGGCCACACTTCCCTCGGTTGAGACTCATACAGCCTCCCTAGATACGTCATTAAAAATAATCTATATTTTTTTTAACTTCCCTTATTGCAGAATATGCTTAGTTTAGAATTTAATTTAATTGCATGCAGGATGCAGCAACAGCCTCCTGTGTGTGACTAAAGTCCAATTAACAGAGAAGGAAATAAAAAATCTTCTAAAGTAAACACATTGTGCTGTGTAAGATTATTATTATAATTTTTTCATGGTAGTTGTGGTTGTCACATTAGTGTTAGGAATACAAAGACATATTCCTAACACTAAAGTGTTCCTTTAAGGGCAGCTTGCTTAGACGATGGCAGGTGACGTGCGTATACACCTTGTGAAGATTTTATTGTGTTGTGGTGGAGATGCAATGGCAATTAGCATTTCCCAAATCAGCATCATTGAAGAGAGATGTGATTAGGACGAGGAATTAAACGCAAACCTGGACCATGGAAACCTGTCTGTAACTTTTAACCACATTGTTTAATGATTGCTATTTAATATGAAGCATGGGAACGATCCCCAAGTTGGGCCATCTTATCTCTCAAGGACCAGCGTCTTTATTTCTCTGAGATACCATGCACGCTATTTTTACAGTCACCCAGATGGTTTAAGGCAGGTTATAATTTAATTTCAGCTTAATTGCAAACTTGGTAATCAACAATTGATGTTTCCCCTTCTATTTTGTGTTTTGTTTTTTTAAATTGCAGTTCGTGACTGATAGTTACATAGTTACATAGTTACATAGTTACATAGCTGAAAAGAGACTTGCGTCCATCAAGTTCAGCCTTCCTCACATTTGTTTTTTGCTGTTGATCCAAAAGAAGGCAAAAAAACCCAGTTTGAAGCACAATTTTGCAACAAGCTAGGAAAAAAATTCCTTCTTGACCCCAGAATGGCAGTCAGATTTATCCTTGGATCAAGCAGTTATTACCCTACATTGAAAGATTATATCCTTGAATATTCTGTTCTTGCAAGTATGCATCTAGTAGCCGTTTGAACATCTGTATGGACTCTGATAAAACCACTTCCTCAGGCAGAGAATTCCACATCCTGATTGTTCTTACAGTAAAAAAACCTTTCCTTTGCCTTAGACGAAATCTTCTTTCTTCCAGTCTAAACGCATGGCCTCGTGTCCTATGTAAAGTCCGGTTTGTGAATAGATTTCCACACAATGGTTTGTATTGGCCCCGAATATATTTGTATAATGTTATCATATCCCCTCTCAGGCGACGTTTTTCTAAACTAAATAGGTTTAAATTTGTTAACCTTTCTTCATAGCTGATATGTTCCATTCCTTTTATTAATTTTGTAGCCTGCCTCTGCACTTTTTCTAGTGCCATAATATCCTTCTTTAGAACAGGTGCCCAAAATTGCACAGCATATTCAATATGGGGTCTTACCAGTGATTTATAAAGAGGCAAAATTATATTCTTGTCCCGAGAATGAATGCCCTTTTTCATGCATGACAATACCTTACTGGCCTTGGCCACTGCTGATTCACATTGCACATTGTTGCATAGTTTGTTGTCTATAACAATTCCCAAGTCCTTTTCATGTGTTGTTATCCCTAATTCGCTTCCATTAAGGGTATACGTTGCTTGTGTATTCTTTACGCCAAAGTGCATAACTTTGCATTTTTCAACATTAAATTTCATCTGCCATTTGAGTGCCCAGTCTCCCAGTCTATCTAAATCCCTCTGCAGCAAAGATGGATTTTATACATTTCTTATGACCCAATGTTCTTATCACTGACAAGCCAACCAAAGGAAAACAATCAGAGCAATTATTGGCACAAATCATATAGAGTTGTATGTTGTAATGACTCCATATAATATTTAATGCTATAACCTCCAGTCATTAAATGCAATGTTAGTGTGAAGTAGTGTTGAGCTGTATATTTTATTTTTATCAATATCGCAAGTCCCTCCATTTTCCATCTTATTTAGGGGAGAGCTGGTGCTGGATTAAGCTATTATTAGTGGCTGCTGGAACCTCATTGCTTTTGTATTCCTTTTTATTTGTCATTCCTGTGTTTGAGAAAAATAAGAAAATGCAAATAAGGTATGATAAAAAGAAAGGACTGATAGGGAACAATGTAGGAGAAGTTAAGTAGCTTCATTCTTCACTTAGTAGTTTCATTCTTCACTCAGTAGCTTCATTATTCACTCAGTAGCTTCAGTCTTGTGCCAATATTTCCATTTATAACACACGTTAATTCACCTGAAGAAAGAAGAGCTGTTCTTAAGACACTATGCTGTAAAGTGAATAAAGCTAGTTTATTGATAGATGTGACTTGACATTGTCCTACTTAAAGGCATTACATTATGTAACAACAAAATATCACCCTCTTGTGACATCAACCCCCCTGCTTGTATGCTGCAGCCTGGTGGGTAGCCATGGGTAGCCATGTACATTGATTTTAACGTGTATTTCTTTCTTCATTACAATTCTATCTTTATTACAAACAAAATTGCTAAGTACCTTAGCACCATATTGGTACCAGATTGGTTTATTACACAACTGTAACCAAGAATTTCACACTGGTTATCACTGGTACTGGTCCATGGGCAAACTGTTTAAATTCCAAAGAGAAAATGTTGATGTGATATGGTAATCAAAAAATAGTGTATGTGTGTTTATGCATTTAGTAGAAATTTTTATCAAATATTTAATAAAACAAGTGAAGGAACAATTTCCCACCCCCAGCAAAATATCTATACAATAGTAGTTTTTAGCGAGAGCATATTCTTATTTTAAATCATGTTTGTCTGCACATCCTTGCAGAAAGATGAAAAAATTCCTTGGCAGTGGCACTGTGGTAAAGGTGGAGGTTATGCACAATGTCATAAAATATTTAAAAAACAATATATAAAGTAACAATTACAAAATATTTTGGAAACAGATTACGAACATTTTACATGCAAAATCACCTGAATGCTGTCTACCAGAGGGCTGGAGCACTGCCATCTAGTGGAGGAGTGATGTATATATCTAGAGTGACTTCTAAGGTTTGGGATTGCAATTTACTTAAATGTGAGTTCAAAAGGCTTCGTAAATATACAGGATTAACAATACATTTCAGTCAAAGTGGTAATTCTATTGCAGAGCTGTATCTCAGTGTAGTTTAAAGCAAAATTATAATTTCGGATGTGTCTCTCAGTAGCTCCCAAAGGACTCTGACTAATTTCAGTTATTTGTGGCTGAAACTCAAGAAATTCAACGAACTAAGCTACATATGGGCAACTGCATGAACCAGCGCAATTTATAGAGCCCAATCCAGACTGAGACCTATGGAGGAGGGCGCACAGAAGGTTGGTGGAAAAGGCCAATCTGCCAACACTGTGCGCACCTCTCTACTAGCAAGCGCCCTGCTACACACACACACACACACACACACACCTCCCCCGCGCCCGCTTGGGACTGGCGGAGGATATCCTGGTCCCCACTGGATCAGGTGGAACTCGCACAGAGAGCCGGAGGTCTGAAGTATCGCATACCGCAAACCTCGTGGCGCAACCAAGATGGCCACCACATTGGAAGCTCAGCATTGCAGCCCGGTTCCACCGCATCGCTCATCAAGCTACTTCAAACCCTCCTACTGCTGCAGAGCTACCTCAAGCTGAAGACTCAACAGCCCATCTATCTCCTGGGCCAGGTGCCCACCTGGAGAAGCCTTCAGCCCAAAGTCCTTACCCTCGTGGGGACACCTGAAATGCGGAGACCCCAAGGACCCGCGATCACGCTGCTCGGAGTCTGCGGATTCGTGGACTTGCAGAACTGGCACCCACGGAGCGGAGGCCTGGAGGCAAAGATACAGGACCCTGCTTGTTCAAACGGCACCAACCACCCGCCAGCAAACATGCCTATAGAGCCTGGACCTTACCATACTACGAAGAAGCAGTAATCTCGGTGTGGAGACAATCCCACGTCTGCAGCCCGTATGGACTTGTCCCTGGGATGGCGGTCCCATTGCTTGCGGCACGAAGCTGGACTTTGAGCCAAGGCCCTCCCATGGCATAGGGTGAACTGCTATTTTCCCACACATCTGCTCCCAAGCTTGGCTCACTAGAGGCATAGCCTGAAACACCTAGGCAATATTAATATAAAGTTCCTGGCACGTTACATTCCTGCTATACTAACCAAGTAATCTCCTTGATTACAAGCAACATCACGCTCTGAGTAATCAATGTTTCTTGCCTTATACACATGCCTGCAATTCGGTATAAGTCTTTATTGAACTTGACACACACTCAGTTATTGCTCATATATGCCAATTTTACGCCCTTTGCCATTAACACCATGTTTTCTTCTAGTCTCTACTGTGGGTAGTGCCATACGATGACAATGAAGGTTTCAGTGGTATGTCTTTCTCCCCTTTTTTGTTCTATCACTTACATTGATCATACTATCAATAAGCTCAGTGTACGTTCCGAGTGACTAACAAGTTTCTCTCTATAGTAGTATCTTGTTTCAATGTGGGTGAAATGCTTACTAATCGAGTCATTCTTACATTCCATGATATAACTTGTTTAATTAACTCTTGAAAAAAAAAAAAAAGAGGTCGTAACTCTTTTTTGAATAATGCTTTGTTTACTTGTTTGTGTATTCTGTGCTGTACCTGACCTCAATAAAACACAGATTGACATTTGACACAAAAAAACAAAGTGTAACCGTTCTTTATAGTCATTTTTTAATTTTCCGTTTATTGTAGTTGACATGTGAATGACTAAATATGGCGTATAATAGTAACATATCTATATTCAAAACTATAGGGGACATTTATCTAGGCAAAACAGATACTATTTCGGGGCAATGTGCTATTGGATTGGATTGTGATTTCTTGTTTGTTGTTGCATTTAACCTGTTTGTGCCTTGGATAAATCTTCCCACTGTGTGCTAAAACAGGGAAGGAATTGCAGTTTAATTAATGTGATCAAAGCAAAGCCTTTTAAATGTCATTCTTCTTTGGAGCAACAGTGCAATGACTTTGTACTCATAAGAGCACAGATAGCGTGCAGTTAAATTTAGGGGGTGTTAGGCGGCGAACGGTTCGCCACGAACGGTTCGCCACGGAATCATCATTGAGTAAACTTTGACCCTGTACCTCACAGTCAGCAGACACATTCCAGCCAATCAGCAGCAGACCCTCCCTCCCAGACCCTCCCACCTCCTGGACAGCATCCATTTTACATTCATTGTGAAGCTGCATTCTTAGTGAGCTGTCCAGGAGGTGGGAGGGTCTGGGAGGGAGGGTCTGCTGCTGATTGGCTGGAGTGTGTCTGCTGACTGTGAGGTACAGGGTCAAAGTTTACTCAATGATGAGTCCGTGGCGAACCGTTCGTGGCGAACCGTTCACGAACCGTTCGGCGAACCGTTCGGGACATCACTAGTGATGGGCAATGATTGAACTTTACATATAGCACTGGGTCACTTATAGTAACACAGGAAGGGCCAGACAGAGGTTACTACTGGAGAATGTTCTGCATCTCATGGTACAATAATATATGCCATTATAATGTGGTTTTGGAAAGCACTTAAGTAGCAATGCAAACGTTGACACTGCCTATGTGCTTGTACAAGATGTATCTGTGTGTCTTGTTTACATATATGTCTATATTGAGGCCTGCGTGCCTACAACTATTTCTCTTCTTTCTCTCACACTATTACAATAAAAAGAGATTTACAAATAAAATAAAAATAATTGTATTATCAATATTCCACCCCATAAAGTAGCATTACACACTACTTTCCTATTCCTATCTAACAAATGGAGTGTCAGAGATTCACCAAAACATCTTAAACTAACACTTTCTATAAAGTCACCTTAGGGGAAAAAAACCCACAGACAACACTCTGGAAGAGAATAGAATCAAGTAAACCCACTGAAACAAGCAGATACCATAAACATAACAAAACAATTGTTTATTAAAATAAATATAATGCAAAATTAAAAATACAATATCATCTTTGATTTTGTTAATGTTTCCATGATCACAGTATTGGCAATATTTGTGTAATCGTAATAAGTTGAAATGACCATGAGTTCATCTGTAGCTGGGGACTGTTTTAATTCTGCGGCACTGTAAAAGAAAATATATTAAAAAAAAATGTTCTGAGTCACTCAATGAAGAAACAGTAAGTTACATTGCAAAAAGATGGACCATATGGCTATAACAAGAGACTATAATAATAATACTGTGTATATTTCTTAAACAGATACTACCAATCTCTAAATCACTTTAGCTTGTTGAAATGCTTTATGTGCAAAACGTGTCTTTTTTTATTTTTTATTTTTTGTTATTATCGTATTTGTTTTTTATGCAGAAATAATCCAACAGTTGGTCCAATATTACAGGGGATTCCAGAATTCTACACAACAGAACCACTTGTTACTGCGTTTCTCAAGCAAAAAAAACATCACTAAGCATCGTTTTAAGACAATCAAATCTATATAAAATGTAATTCCCTGTTCTTTACTACTTCTATAATAACATATTAATGTTGAATTATATGTCAAATAAATATAGCCCATATTTTTCTTTCCATGTTCCTATACAGGGGCTAGAAACACATTTTTGATTCTGATATTGTTCTACCACAACTTACCAAATGCGTATTTGGCCAGGAATCCTCTAGTCTGTACAGACTCATCACTGACAAACTGAATGACGAGATAATTTTTGGTGGATGTTATGGTGGGAACTTTGGCCATACTACAGTATTTGCCAATCTGTGGAGATGTTGGTGTGGGTCCATCATAGAAAACCAAATAGTCATTAGAGCAGGAACGCTGAATCTCCAAATAAAAATCTGTCATATTCAAAGACACCTAGAGAATGAGATTAGAAATCCAGTTACATTGCAGGAATATAAGGTGGAACTTCAAGACACGCGTACTTACATATTATTTAAATTTTTTTAAAGGAACAGAAATGATTTAGAGCAGTTGTTCTCAAAACCAAACCTCAAGGATAATTAGTGGCTTTATTCATTAAATCCATATTAAGAATAAATAGCAGGAGGTAAGTGATTTTTTCGTACTTAACCTCAAATTAAGAATTTTGAAATGATTAAATATTGGACATTTGAATGACTGACTGTTCCTTCATATCCTGGTAACGTGTGCTTGATTTTATCCAATAAATGAATGGTGCTTACTGTCTGTAATTTCCATTTTCGAGGAAGTTAGATACAGAGTATGGTCATTGCTACAAACAGCATGTTTTAAGAATATTCCAATTTCCATGATTCATCTTGCCATCAAGAAATGGGGGCTGTAAAGATCGCACGGAAAAATTACATACTGAGAATTAATCTTTTTATTTACCTTAAATCCCACTGGAGCAATGATCACCCATGTACATTGTGCTAAAGCAGGGTAACTGGATGGGTAATTTGGAGAGGAGAAGACCCCAGAGTAGCTGGTAAGCGTGGATCCACATTTTACTAGGGAGGAAGTAAAGATTATTTTTGATTTTGGTGCATACATACACATAACTCGCCATTAGATATTATTTCACTATATAATATGTGTGTGTGTATTCACATCTATACATATATCTCAGGCAATGACAAATTAGTGCAACAAATACATTGTAAAGTGATGATTTGTGATCTTACAATCTGAAGGATAGAATTGAGTCAAAAGGTAAAAGAGCAGAGTTTAAAATTAGTAGTCTGAGAACTTCAAGGGCAAACTAGAATCGTTTTATGGTTAAGGAGTTTTATAGTTAAGGAGTTAGTGACATTAGTTGGTGACACAGTCAGGGTGTCCTTTAAACGTAGAAGTTGTGTAAGATCTGTGCCCCAATTCTTTTCACTTGGTTTTCTTAAAGGAGAACTATAGCGTCCTATAACTTGTATAGTGAATAACATATGTTTAAAACACAAATAAACTGTACTGTATTCTTACCAGTGTTATATGAGCCCTTGAAACCTGTAGCTGTTAAGCTGGAATCGCTGGCAAATTCAAGAAGCATCATATTCCCTGAAGATACCAAAGAGGGGACCTGTCCTGTGCCGCATGCTCTGTCCAGTAGTACTGGTGATGATGTATTGGCTCCATCGTAGACCTTTAAGTAATCAGAGGAGCAGCTAGGGGATCCCTGCACATTGAAGGCACTAAACTTCAAGAACACCTGGGAGAGAGAACACAGCTTAGCAATGAATAGAAAGTTTGGATTTTACTCCATCCATTAGACAAGGTGTTCTGATTGTTCCGAAGATCTGTTCTTTATTAGTTACCTGATCTGAAGGGACTCGAATAAGCCAGAAACATTTGGCATTATTGTGGTAGTTGTTGGGGTAATTAGCAGAAACAAATGATCCTGTAGAGTCAGGCAATAAGGTGCTGCAGGCATCTAAAACGGAAATAAATAATAATGAAAAAGAGAGTTCTTAGTTCTATTGGGTGCGGTTTGTATGTCTGGGAGAAAAAATATATTCCATATAATCTGTTTATGGATTTATTTTATGCATGCCATGAAGCTTTGGCAGCATTGCAACTTTCGATCAGAACTTAACCGATCTGAAAGTGTCCATTTAGAGCAATTAATAAGGTATCAGTTATGATGGAAAGTAATTGCTCAGTACTTAAGGTCAGACATTTCCTTTAGGTCACTGAATTGTTTTGGACTTGACAGATGTCTAGTGATCGCATCATTACTTACCACACTTGTACAGATTGTTTATTTTGGAAATATCCAAGTTACTGAGTCCGTATCGCTGACCAATGGCTACACTTGAGTTTGGCTTCGGGACAATGGTGGCTAAATTCTGCGATATGGAGAAGGAAAACCTAGAAAAAGAATAGAAGTTCTCCAATGTTAAATGGAATGTGTCTTAAACATGATTACTTGTTTTCACATTAACATCTTTCCGTTCTGTCCATTATCAGCCTAAAAGAAGACCCCAAAACGTGACTACTTTACAAACCAGGACTACTTTACAGATGTGGACAACGTTACAAATTGAGATCCCTTCAAATTGAAATTGAAATTTCTTTGTGACAACTTGTACCAACATAAGCGCTGAATTAAACTTTAATATTTTTACATTTTCTGTTCCAAAGAATTTCATGTTAGACTAAGAACTTTATTCACTAAATATTGGTGCTTTTACACATACATTAAAAATGATAATTCAAAAATGTAATTTAACTCACTGTTTATTAACCCATCTGGTGACAGTAAAGTAATTGCTCTGGGTTACCAGAGTTTAACCAATCGTCATCCTTCCCCTACATATTAACATATTAACAACTTAATGAGCCACTCGCCTTACCTTCCATAGTGCATAACAGAAGAATAATCGTATTCTAGGCCCAGATTATTGGTATCATACTTGTCAAAGTTGTCAGCCAGTCCTAGAAAATTAAAATAACATCTAGTTAACTTCATGACGCACTGATCTCCGGTATATAAGGAAGGCTTATTGAGAATCAAGAGAAATGTACTTTAGAAATGTTTGCAATACTGAGGCTAACCATCACTGCTAACAGACACCGCTCATTTTTGGCTGCATGGTGTTTGAATGGTTTAAGACTGTCAGTCCTCCTCTGCTTGGCTAATGAGCACCAGCAGGGAAGGGATAGCAGTGTATCATTGATCGGCTGTCACAAGTAAACGTATAGAAATTTTCTATCCTTAGAAATTGAATTGAGCAGTGAGATTGCAGGAGCATGATCTATACACCAACACTGCTTCATGAAGCTAAAGTTGTTCTGGTGACTACAGTGTCCCTTTAATAAAGGTTAAATGTGACTTCTTTCCTCCTTGGTCTGCTTACCGACAATGATATTGTTTGTATTTATGTCAATGTAGTTATCGCGGTCGCTCCTGCTGTGCTCGTGGAAGAATCCCAAGGCATGGTTCAGCTCATGCTGGGCTATCCCCTTGGTTACACAGCTGTCCTTTGAAAGTGATACCTCCTGGGGTCCGCCCATTTTACCAACATAGGACCAACACCTGCAAACAAGAGGTTTGATTATACGGATGGACTGTAAGCACAATATTCCCATGGTCCATAACTGGCATCATTTGTTCTCAGTGACATTTGTTAAACCACTCCCTCTGCATTACATCATAGAACACACAGCTAGCTGAAACCACACCCTCTGCATTCTATCATAGAACACACAGCTGGCTGAAACCACACCCCCTGCATTCCATCATAGAACACACAGCTGGCTGAAACCACACCCTCTGCATTCTATCATAGAACACACAGCTGGCTGAAACCACACCCCTTGCATTCCATCATAGAACACATAGTTAGCTGAAACCACACCCCCTTAGCTGAAACCACAACCCCTGCATTCAAACATGGCGCACATAGCTAGCTGAAACCACACCCCCTGCATTCCATCATAGAACACACAGCTAACTGAAACCACACCCTCTGCATTCCATCATATAACACACAGCTAGCTGAAACCACACCCCCTGCACACCATCACAGAACACACAGTTAGCTGAAACCACACCCCCTGAGCTGAAACCACACCCCCTGCATTCAAACATGGCACACGTAGCTAGGTGTAACCATTCTTTAGGCCTATATTTTGCAACCTAATGTTTAGTAAATATACCCCAACGCATTAATATGATCACATACCCCGAGTCAGGAATAATCATCAAGTAATCAGCTTCCGAGGAGCGGGGGACAAAACGCACACAGGTCAGTGTGGCAAAATCTTGCATAGCGGTAGTAATAACATCCAACTCTTGGGCACCTGAGGAGGGAATCAGGAGATGTTAAAATGTAATAAAAATGATACATATTATAAAGTAGCTGATCTGGAATCATTTTCTAACTCCACTTTTCTACCCATATCATCGCTGGTATATTGTTACTTTTATTTTTCCATTTAAATTTCGATTCGCTATAATTAGCAGAAGGTAAGACTGCTGACTGTCACTGGAACATTACTCTACAATACTCTAATTTGGCTTTTGGAATGAGATAATTAAAACTGGAGGAAGACAAGGACATTGTTTTTCCCCTTTTGTAATGTTATTGATTCTATCATTCTGTTATTTTGTTTTGTATGTTATCTTTATTATTATTACGTGCATGTAATCTGCTGTCTACTCTATTATGCCCTGACTTTTACAATGCAAAACCCTCAGTCCACTTGCTGATTGCACTGGGCTCTTTTATGGTGTGTTATGTTATGTATTCCTCAGAGTATTGTGTTGCTACATGAGATCATCTGTATATCATATGCTTGTGGATTGAGACAAAAATAAAAAATAAAATGAAAATAAAAGGTATTTCCTTATTATATAGTTATTACTTACTGAAGTCAGCAGAGATTATGAATGGGACGTTGACTGTTCCGTTTCTGTCCTTATTCCACCGGCACATATCATTGTCGCACTTTATAGCGCTGCGGCCAATTTTCACAGCTATGTCGCCTTCAATAGTAGGTCTTTTACTTCCTGAATGCCGAGATAAAAAAATTAGTTTTCTCAAACTACAAACAAAGTGTGCGCAGTTAGTCTGTCTATTTATCTAGGCATCATAGTCTGTCTATTTCCCTCATTCTTTCAATGTTATGGAAATAAACGTGGTCTGGGTGCAGTGGCCCTGTAGTTCTAACCCTTCAATGTCAAATATTACAGTTTTGTAGAAACTGCAGGAAAAGGTTAATTAGCCTTATAATCACTTACGTTATTCCAGCACCAATGTCCCTGGGAGCTTGGGTGGGCTCTTCCTCTGTTGACGTCAGCCAATGAGGGGAAACTAATGCCCATGCAGGTCTTCCCCATAGGAAAGCATTCACTCAATGCTTTTCTATGGGGCATTAAACACGCTGGATGTCCTCGTACAACGGACATCTAATGTTTCACAGAGTCAAACTCAGTGTAAATGCAGGAAGTTCTTCTAGTGGCAACTGCCAGACTTGATGAAAAGAACATCCTGTGTTTAACAGGTTTAATTGTATTACCAATGTATATTTTACATAAAAAGGGAAAATCTAAATAAACATTATACCTTTGTTGGAAGATTCAATGACACCAAAAACATCCGAAGGCTCTGGTGTTGGGTCCTCTTTGGGAATGTCTGCTGGAAGAGATAATAATGTATTAAATAGGGTTTTACACACAGTAAGGATTACAGTGAGGTATGTTAAACTGGGAATAATAGCAGAATTGTTTAAACTAAAATAACCGAAATTAAATAGGAAAGTCTCCTACTCAACAATTTTTCGAATTTGACAATTCCCTCCGCAATCCTGTGCAATTCCCGTTTTAGTTAAAATATGTTTTATTTTCGTTTTTTTTTTATAAAGTTTCCGTGTTACCGTAAGATGTACAGGGCTGGATTTACCGACCAGGAGAAAAACGTACTACTCAGAGAATTGCATATACACACATATAGTTCATATAATATAATTCATACAAAAAGCAGAATCACCTCCTTATCTGCAAGATTTATTTTACCTGTTCAAAGTGAATGGACTAAATGATGAACAGGAATTCCCACCAGGAGTTTGTATCTAGTTGGACTGAGTATAAAGAATGTAATTCTGTTTGCTACTTTAAATCAATCCGTAAGGAACATTCCATTGGTTTTATTGATGATGGTTTTACATTTCTATCCCCGGAACATTCTTTAATAACCGGCAGAATATATGATTGCGTCAATATGGCATTTGTACTTCAAAAACGAATGAAATAACGAACTATAGTCCACGCCTTTATACAACATACTTAGTAAGTTAGTACTTAGTAGAACTATTCTTCTGTTAATACAACTTGTTATATCTTAATTGTAAGCTAATGTGCAGAACAACAATAAATTGAAAATATCTCCGATAGGGATATATAGCAAAAAACTAAAAAACTGTTTATAAAATACATACCTTCTTTGACGAGGTCTCCAAAATTAATCTGAAAATAAACAGATACATAAGAAATAATTACAAGAGATTGTAAGTATATAAAACATACACCTATAGATAGAGAGATAGGTAGAGAGAGCAAGATATATGTATACACATACACACAAATATGTACAAACATTGAGATATACCAGTCTAGCCACATCTCTGTCTTTTTATCATATTGTATACAAATATTAGAAATCAGAAAAAAATAACAATTAATATTCATGCCCTATCTGTATTTTGCAATAGTCCCAATTTTTTTTATAAAAAATTAATACATGGAAATAAAAAATACTGATGCCTGCAGAAAAATCACAATTAAATGTAAATACCTGAAGAGGAACTCCGTTGGAACATTGTAACAGGTAGGTCATGAGAATGAGGGAGATTCTGAAGGCCATAGTGATGGTCTATCTGATGTTAAGTGTCCTTAGAATTCCTCTATGCTTTGGCTGTGAGGCTGTATATTTTGCAGGAAAGACTGGCCCTTATATACTCCTTTCTGAAAATGTACCAGCCAATCAGCTTCCAGGATGAAGGTGACAAAGGGCAAGGTGCATGTTTAAAACAGGTGACAGGGTGACCATTATTTTTTTTAATTATCAGTACTGCTACAGTGTATTTTGGAATAGCAACGATTACATAGTGACACCCATTCATTCAATTCATAAAACCAGAACAAATTGCAATTTTCAGGTAAACCCTGCACCCAGACAAATAATCAGTTATACTAATTACAGGGGTCTGTATTTGATCATTGTCTGCCTTCGGCAATATATATTGTTAGAACTGTGACAATAATTTTTTTTTATAAATATTGTATTAATAACATTGTGATTCACAAAAAAAGAATACAACCAATGACAGGGCCATTAAAAATCAGTTGTAAAAGCTCAGAATTTGTGGTTTTTGTTTGTCCATGACTTTTGCATGAAAAATGCATGTCTTTTGCGCACTGTGCCAATGTAGTGCTGTTATGCATTGTTTGATGCGATTGCTATGTGGAAAGTGCGCAGAACAAATCATGGCTACACACTTTTGATGGATATCCCACTGCACGGAAAAACAATTTATTCTAAATACCATTTGTCATGAAAAAATTGCGTACTCAAAATGTCTTTGCTCTGCATAGTTTGTGAGTTTTGTTACAAACCCTAAACGGCTAAAAGTTTGATACAATGAGGCAATAATGTAAATTTAGGTTATGAGTTCATAAATGTTATGAACATTTGCATCAAGATCTATAATTTGACTTTAACCAGTGATGTGGTTTCTTATATTGTTAGAAAAAACTGGAAACATAAAATGTAAATTTAATAAAATCAACGGTTATATATCAAAGGTGATATATAAAAATATTATTTTTGAACTGCCACATCGGAAGTTCCGCATGTTCTGGAAGCTTGTGTCAGCTACGGACTTTATTAAAGGTAAAGTCACCATTCTTTCTGATATGTTTTGATCGCATTCAAATTTCAATGAAACTCCAAAACAGTCAATACGAGAGATTTACCAAATAATAACCTTTACAATTTTTCTTATTAATTTTTTTTATACAAACACACACTACATTGATGGTATTTACTTGGAGACTGTTATTTTTAATATTAAAATGACCTCAGTGACCAATTCTTCAACTCTTATGGTTCTCATCAACCTATATTTCTTGTAAGATTTTGTATTTTTCTCATGTATTGCTATCTCCCCCTTTATTGGAAAGCGCTACTGCATAAGTTGGCGCTATATAAATGTCAATAAGAATATATCACAAAATTAACCGGGTTCCTTCCTAAAACAGTGATAGGCAACCTTTGGTGCAACGTATGTTTTGAACTACATCTCCCATAATACTCTTATGCCCATAATGCTGGCGAAGCATCAGGTTATGTGTAGTCCACAACATCTGGAGTGCCAAAGGTTGCCTAACCCTGCACTGAATTGAGAATTTAGGGTGAAAGTGGCAAAATTGGAAGCTAAACTGATGTGGAGATTGTTTTCAGTTGAAATATTTTTGCCTTAAATTTTATGGGGTTTTTTTCAATTCACTTCGAATTCCTGACGATTCTCCCATTAGTGATTAGCGCTGTGTATATGTAAAACGTTCATTAGACACTGTACATTGTTAAAGGGGTCTCCATTACAAGTTTAACTAACGTGTGAATTGTCAAGAATTCAAAGTAAATTTCACAAAAATTGAATTTAAGCCACAATAATCCAACTGAATATTGAGCTGACTTGGAGAATGTTTCCTGTTCGGCTACTGTGGGCTAAAATGTCAAATTTACTTTGATTTCCAGACAATTTACATTATAATAACTTGTGCACCAGACCAAATAAATAACAAATAATAACAAGGAAGCCTGGATCAGAGTCATAGGCATCTTGTGATCCTTTCATCCTAATTGTGGGCTTATCATACTGATTTCCAAATATTTACTGTGATGTCTGTGGCAGCTGCTGTGTGTAATTTGTGTGAGATTCAAACAGAAAAATGCATTGCCAAACTGCGTAAATGTTCGTCAAGAATGAAAAAAAATGTGTATTTTTCTTTTTTTTAGGTTTGTTTCGTATAAAAATTCTGATTACAATTTTATATTCAAAAATACTCCAAGATAAACAAATTGCTTACATTAGATTTGTTGAATAGATTGACCCAGTAAGTATAGCAATATAAAAACTGCAGAATTCTAATCTAATTCCAATTCTAAAAATGCAGAATATCTAATATAACCTAAAGCAAACACATTTCTGCAAGTTTTGTACACACTGATTGTGTGTCATGATTGACATGTCATGATTCCCTTTTATTCCAGAAGTTTAGTCCTTAAGGGGTTAAACACACCTGTTACTAACTGTTTGCACTCAGACACCCCTCCTGTATTTTTATGGCAGTCCTAATGAGATTAGTATCACTTTAGAAATCAATGACACACACACACCCCCAGTGCCCCCTGCAGAGAAAATGAAAGGAGATCTGACTATTAGTGGGTGGGAGGTTTAAATTATAGTAAGATCTGGAGGGCAATTTTTGGAGGAAATACAGACTGATACCAGAGTGGGTTTAACATTGCACCCATCTAAACTATACAATAAGTTAATTATTATTGATAGGTATAATAGTAATATTACTGATGTTAGTTTGCCATCATGGATATTGCTATAAAACAGAATATTCTCATGATAAGTCACTAACCTAAAACTGAGTAAGTAATTATCATTAGTGTTTTGGGGACTGACATTGGGGGACAGGTTACAATTTAAAGTGACACTCCTGGCACCAAAACAACGTCAAATGAATGAGGAACTCTTACCTGAAGGGGTTAAACCATTCTCGAACGGTTTGACCCCAAAGTTACCTCCAGCGGCCATGCTTCATAATTTTGATGAAGTTGTGTTGGTGCCTGGAATGTCCCTTTAATAATAATAATAATAATAATATATATTTTTCATAGACTCAACCAGAAAGTCGCCACATAATCACCATGTCATGATTCCCTTTTATTCCAGAAGATTGGTCCTTAAGGGGTTAAAGAGATACTTCTGCCCATTGGAGTGGTCTGGGTGCCAATTCCCACTATCCGTAACCCTGCAAGCGTAATTATTGCAGTTTGCATTGCCGCGCATGCGCATTAGGTCTCCCCCGCCGGCTGACATCGGCGGGGGAGGAGAGTAGGTAGAGAGTAGGCGGAGCCTAACCAGCGTTTTATCCCCTTCAGCAACTTTGGATGGGGGGTGGGAGGGAGAAGGTACCCGCAGGGTCCTACAGTGCCAGGAAAACTAATATGTTATCCTGGCACTGGAGAGCCCCTTTAAAATGTACATAAAAAGAAAAGAAAGTAATGTACTATGTTATTAATTAATATATTATTTATTATTTTTTTATTAAGGTTATGAAACCAGTATCTGTAACATAAATTAGTTAATATGTAAAACTGTTCTTAAGTTAATTGGTTGCTTACAATTGGGGGTGGGGGAGTGCCAGGGCACCATAACTACTACAGTGCACTAGATATTGTGTGTGAAGTGTTTTTGTAAGGTTAGTGACATAGCACCTGTTACCTACCTACTACACCCTGGGAATCAACCTGCATTTTTTGAAGTAACACTTCAGTATCACTACAAGAAAGGTTCCAAACACCCAAGTCCCCTGTGGAGAAAATGAAAGGGTCTGTAAAACAAGTGCAGTCTTGGGTAGATCTTACTGGGAGGTTTAGTTACATTTATTGATATAAATCATTGGGGGAGATACACACAAATGCTGAATTGTACGTTGTAACCATATAGCATAGAGTACTGATTGGTGTATTTTCATTATGTTAGTGACCTTAATAGATAGTTTAACACTATACTTTATAAATAAATGTTGTGTTTCTGACACATATCTACATTAACTTGCGTGGTTGCCTTTGGATTACGTCGGCATTTACTTCCCGACTACGGCGCACATGCGCCGTATTATAAATGAGAGAGCGTTGTGAGCGGCCGGCGTCAGAAGGGCTGTGCCGCTCACCGGAAGTGAGTGAAGAGGACGACGTGCTGCGCAGGTCCGAGGAGGAAAGGTAAGGTTTCGTTACACTCAGATCTTTTCGCTTGCCAAATTTCATGAAATTCAAGAACTGACTGTTCACTTGCTGTCTAATGTTTTCCACCTTTTGACAGATGCCATTCTAACAATATAATCAATATTATTCACTTCACCTATCGGTGGTTTTAATGTTTTGGCTGATCAGTGTATATTTTATAATCCAAGATTGTTATTAATGAAACCTTTACTATACTCAATTACATCATTTACTTATTTTAGCAAATGTTGGGTCATTCTCTGTAAACACATCTGGTCTTAATTTGCTATGTGCCTTGCAATTCCATGTATTCTATGGTAAGTCTGTAAAATTCAACAGAATATGATAAAGAGATACAGCTAAATGGCAAACTCAGATTTCTCTAACAGGCCACTAGAGGGTAGTATTGTGAAGGAATGTACTATAAGCAATTGGATGTATACATTTTTTATTTATATAACGCTTACAGATGTACTTATAACTTCACAGTTTACATTACAGATAGGTGGGGGACAGTAAGTCCAGCAGTTATACAATGTACAGCCAGGTCCATAAATATTGGGACATCGACACAATTCTAATCTTTTTGTCTCTATACACCACCACAATGGATTTGAAATGAAATGAACTTTAACTGCAGACTTTCAGCTTTAATTTGAGGGTATTTACATCCAAATCAGGTGAACGGTGTAGGAATTACAACAGTTTGTATATGTGCCTTCCACTTTTTAAGGGACCAAAGGTAATGGGACAATTGGCTGCTCCGCTGTTCCATGGCCAGGTGTGTGTTATTCCCTCATTATCCCATTTACAAGGAGCAGATAAAAGGTCCAGAGTTAATTTCAAGTGTGCTATTTGCATTTGGAATCTATTGCTGTCAACTCTCAATATGAGATCCAAAGAGCTGTCACTATCAGTGAAGCAAGCCATCATTAGGCTGAAAAAACAAAACAAACCCATCAGAGAGAGAGCAAAAACATTAGATGTGGCCAAATCAACTGTTTGGAACATCCTTAAAAAGAAAGAACACACCGGTGAGCTCAGCAACACCAAAAGACCCGGAAGACCACGGAAAACAACTGTGGTGGATGACCGAAGAATTCTTTCCCTGGTGAAGAAAACACCCTTCACAAGAGTTGGCCAGATCAAGAACACTCTCCAGGAGGTAGGAGTATGTGTGTCAAAGTCAACAATCAAGAGAAGACTTCACCAGAGTGAATACAGAGGGTTCACCACAAGATGTAAACCATTGGTGAGCCTCAAAAACAGATTAGAGTTTGCCAAACAACATCTAAAAAAGCCTTCACAGTTCTGGAACAACATCCTATGGACAGAGGAGACCAAGATCAACTTGTACCAGAGTGATGGGAAGAGAAGAGTATGGAGAAGGAAAGGAACTGCTCATGATCCAAAGCATACCACCTCATCAGTGAAGTATGGTGGTGGTAGTGTCATGGCGTGGGCATGTATGGCTGCCAATGGAACTGGTTCTCTTGTATTTATTGATGATGTGACTGCTGACAAAAGCAGCAGGATGAATTCTGAAGTGTTTCAGGCAATATTATCTGCTCCTATTCAGCTAAATGCTTCAGAACACATTGGACGGCGCTTCACAGTGCAGATGGACAATGACCCGAAGCATACTGCAAAAGCAACCAGAGTTTTTTAAGGGAAAGAAGTGGAATGTTATGCAATGGCCAAGTCAATCACCTGACCTAAATCCGATTGAGCATGCATTTCACGTGATGAAGACAAAACTGAAGGGAAAATGCCCCAAGAACAAGCAGGAACTGAAGACAGTTGCAGTAGAGGCCTGGCAGAGCATCACCAGGGATGAAACCCAGCATCTGGTGATGTCTATGCATTCCAGACTTCAGGCTGTAATTGACTGCAAAGGATTTGCAACCATGTATTAAAAAGTGAAAGTTTGATTTATGACTGTTAATCTGTCCCATTACTTTTGGTCCCTTAAAAAGTGGGAGGCACATATACAAACTGTTGTAATTCCTACACCGTTCACCTGATTTGGATGTAAATACCCTCAAATTAAAGCTGAAATTCTGCAGTTAAAGCACATCTTGTTTGTTTCATTTCAAATCCATTGTAGTGGTGTATAGAGCCAAAAAGATTAGAATTGTGCCGATGTCCCAATATTTATGGACCTGACTGTACGTATGTTCAAGTGTAGGCTGCCGTGGCTTGGAAAAATCTGGGTGTGGCAGAGTCCAGGTGAATGCTATGTTAAGGAATGCATAGTCTTTACTGTAAAATTTGTTGGAGGAGGGATAATGGTGTGGATCTGCTTTTCAGGATTTGGGCTAAGCAAATATGGGGTATTCTTAATGCTACAGGATACAAAGACATTTTAGACAAGTAGGTGCTTACAGCTTTGTCCTGGGAAAAAAGTGTGGGTACTCTGTGGGTACCAAGATTTCCACCACCCCGCTCTAAAAAAAAGAAAAACATGAAACGCTCCTCTGCCTGTGTGACCCTGTTTATGTGAGCTCACACGGTCATGCTAGTCTCCATGCTGTCCTATTGACTCCAGGAGACACTACCTTCAGGGACATGTGGCTATGCTGCCGGTATCAGTTAGCAGGTCCCTTCTATTTCATGTGACTCACTCATAACAGAACTGGTAATAGGGAGCTGGCTCCTCGCTACTTCCTGGAATTTGTGTCGACTCCATGGCCTCCTGAGCAGCATAAAAAATGGTTGATAGGAAGTGGCTGTTGCCACAAACCAGCTCGCCCTGGCTCTGTTTCCACTTGCTGTCTGCGAGAGGGTGAGTGGAAATCTTGAGCCCTGAATTCGAAATAAAGGACCTGGGATCCCTACACTAATATAGTCTGTACTCCCCTGATCGGGGGCTGACTGGAAACTTTGGCACAGAGGGTGAATACAACCCAAAGGCCCTGAGTTGCCGTCATGAAAGTGAGGCTGATAGCAGTTCTCTGCATCTCAGCTGTATGCCCCTCCAGGACATCCCATGCGCAGAACCCTGCTGATGTGCTCCCAGATTGGGAAAATAACACACTTGCACTGCATTTGCTGGTTTCTTCTCTCTGTTGTCCCTATAAGAGAGATACCAAATAACATATAGGACATGGCTGACATTTGCGTAGAAGGGGCTGTTTGTGCTGTATTGTGTGTGTAAACAAAAAGGGTCTATGGTGTACTAGTTATAACGAGGGGCTCTAGTGTGTGTGCGCATACATAAGGCAATAGAGATTGTGTGTGCTGGCAGGGGCTGTATGGCCTATAGAGTGTGTACATGTGTATCTAGCGTCTGCAGTGTGTGAGTGTCAGTGTACTTATTAGTAAACAGTATGGTGTAGTGAATTGTTAACTGAAATGTACACTTTGTGGAAAAAGTATCAAGCACAGGTGTAGTAACAGTTTATTTACCAAACAACAAATTGTAGCAAATTAGATCTGAATGGCAAAACTAAAGTCACCTCTGCACCCCTCCCTCCCTCGTCCCCCCAGCGCTGAAAGTGTTAAAAAATATTATATTCATTCTAAATTCACTCCTCCTTCTGCCAACAGGAGGGACCTAATGCACATGAGCTGAGTTCATGAGCTGAGTTCATCCCGCCCACCAAGGTTCACCCTAAATTTATAACATGTTTGAGATTCTCACTCAATTACCTCTCCATTCCCTCTCTATTCTACCAGTAGCTGTAACTCTCTGTTTCCTTATCTAACCATCACTTCCAAATTTCCCCTACTACCTCTTCTCTCAAATCCCCATGTTATCCTTTAGATTGTAAGCTCACGGGCTATCTAGCTATGCACTTTGTATAAAAGAGCTTAAATGGCTAGATTTCAGCTTACGGGCAGGGCCCTCACTACCTTTGTATTTGTGTGAGTATATTGTATGTTCGACACTAATTGTACAGCGCTGCGGAATCTGTTGGCGCTTTATAAATACCAGTAATAAATAAATAAAAAAATTAGGACCTCCCCATAGGAAAGTATTAAATCAATGATTTCCTATGGGGTTTTAACTGATACTGGATGACCTCATGCAGAGTCGAAACATCTCTAGTGCCTATTTGATAGACAACAACTGGAGGAAGTCTTAACCCTGCAGTTATTTCAGTTTCTCAATAAGTGCAATTATTACAATTATTGCACTTATTGATTAAGGTGACAATGATATTAAGTGGTCTGGGTGCCTATAATGTCCCTTTAGTATGGTTAAAATGGTTCTGGTGTCTATAACCTGTCTCTGCAGGCTTTTCAATGTAAACGCTGCCTTTTAAGGCAAAAGGCAGTGTTTACATTGCTGCCTAATAACACGTCACACAGTGCAGCACCTACGTTGAGCGACTCCACTCACTGCATGGAGACACTGAACGCTCCCTATAGAGATGCATTGACTTTTGGAGTTTTGCCGTACATGCGCAATAGCCTCACAATGCTTTCTTATGGGAAAGCATTGGATTGGCTGAGATCATCAAGATTGATGATTTCAGCAATGGAGGCAGGGCAGCCCCCGTAAGAGACCTCTCTGCGTGGGAGAAAAGGTAAGTAAACTCTCCTTTTAACTCCACAAAGGGGGAAACGGGGACCTAAACAGTTCGTTTATCACTATAGAGGTAGGAATACATTTTTGTATTTCAAAAACTACAGTATTCCTTTAATTCATTGAAATTTAATTTAGTGAATAAATCCCTTTACAAGTTTTTTTTTTTTTTGAAAGACTTCTAGTTGTGGCGAGTGTGGTTTGATCCCAATTACTTATAGTCTTTCTTAGAAGGAGTGAGGAAATTTCAGCATCAGCCTTTCTGCCAAGGACTGCAACTCCCAGCATGCTTGACAAGCTGTGGGGACCATGTTATAAAATGGATGGAAGGCAGGGATTGCCAGTCTTTGAGTGTCTCTAAAATACTCTGCATAACTACTCCAGAATGCATAGCACATCAATGTGATGTAAAAAAATAATAAAAAAAAATAAAAAAAAATATTTTTTTAATATTTAATATTAATATATCATTTTTTTAATTTTTATTTTTTAAGACTTTCCTGCCAGGCACATATCAGCAGGTCCTCGTTTTTACACCAGGGACCAGGTACAAATAATGATTAAATAATGATAACTGCATGGGGAGCTGTCCAAGGTGCTGAGTACAGCTCTATTGCCAATCACAAGATGGCCGCTTCCTGAGGGATCCGCACAAATGCCATTCATGGTGACGTCATTTCCGAGCCAGAAAAAAAAAATCTACCAAAAAAAAAATAAAAAATCAGTGTGTTTACATAGAGATCATTGCTGTGCTGCGGTGACTGTCCCCCTGACCCCTGGAGAGGGGGCCATAGAGACACCCAGCGGTACAAGGGGTACACAGGCAGCCATGAAGGTGAGACCTCACAGACAGTGAGACATGTTTACCATCTACATCCATGTTATATATCACTGTAATATACAATGTAACTCTAATATACCTACATGTTATATATCACTGTAATATACAATGTAACTCTAATATACCTACATGTTATATATCACTGTAATATACAATGTAACTAATATACCTACATGTTATATATCACTGTAATATACAATGTAACTCTAATATACCTACATGTTATATATCACTGTAATATACAATGTAACTCTAATATACCTACATGTTATATATCACTGTAATATACAATGTAACTCTAATATACCTACATGTTATATATCACTGTAATATACAATGTAACTCTAATATACCTACATGTTATATATCACTGTAATATACAATGTAACTCTAATATACCTACATGTTATATATCACTGTAATATACAATATAACTCTAATATACCTACATGTTATATATCACTGTAATATATAATGTAACTCTAATATACCTACATGTTATATATCACTGTAATATACAATGTAACTCTAATATAGCTACATGTTATATATCACTGTAATATACTGTAATATATACATGTTATATATCACTGTGTAACTCTAATATACCTACATGTTATATATCACTGTAATATACAATGTAACTCTAATATACCTACATGTTATATATCACTGTAATATATGTCATATAATGTAACTCTAATATACCTACATGTTATATATCACTGTAATATACAATGTAACTCTAATATACAATGTAACTCTAATATACCTACATGTTATATATCACTGTAATATACAATGTGACTCTAATATACCTACATGTTATATATCACTGTAATATACAATGTAACTAATATACTTACATGTTATATATCACTGTAATATACAATGTAACTCATATAGCTCTAATATACCTACATGTTATATATCACTGTAATATACAATATAACTCTACTATACCTACATGTTATATATCACTGAGATATACAATGTAACTATAATATACCTACATGTTATATATCACTGTAATATACAATGTAACTCTAATATACCTACATGTTATATATCACTGTAATATACAATGTAACTAATATACCTACATGTTATATATCACTGTAATATACAATGTAACTAATATACCTACATGTTATATATCACTGTAATATACAATGTAACTAATATAGCTACATGTTATATATCACTGTAATATACAATATAACTCTAATATACCTACATGTTATATATCACTGTAATATACAATGTAACTCT